GATAGACAAGCTTGACAAGGCCGCCTCAGAGGCTTTGAGTGCAATGGGTCCTAGCATGACAATGAGCGAGCAGGCTCTTTTGGGCAAGTGGTCGTCGTTCTTGCGCTTGAAGATTTCTGAGGACGGTTCCTCAAGTACCCCCCAAAACGTTGGGTCGGATATATGCAGTACGGATATTAACAAGAGCGTTGTGGCGTTGTATTCCCTTTTCATAAGGGATTCTCAGACGAGTGTTCTGGCAGGGGAGAGATCCATTGTCCTTTCAACAGATTCAGTGCTGCGGTTAGACCCCATTTCGTCTCTAATGCTCTTAGAAATGATGCTTTCGAAATCGTTTCGGCAAGGTGCTGCTTGGCGAAATGAAAATATTGCTGGAGCGCTTCTTACTCGTCTTAGATATCATGTGATTTACAGCAATGTGATTGGGTTTAAGGCTCTTTGGTGGATTCTCCACATTCTTGGCGACAAAGAGTCCGTTTTGCAAAGAAGGTCGGTCGAAAGTGGTCGTCTCTTTAGGGCGTGTCTTAGGCGTCTTCATGACATGCTACCAGGACTAACACCTGGTGACTGTCTTCTGCTATTCCCATTGTTGAAAAACTCCCTTTACGACAAACCATTTATTATCTGTGCCGATATTATAAGGCGAGTCGTGACGTGCGAATTAGAAGAGTTAGGTGTTGTACCAACTTCTGTCATAATGCATACCTTGGAGTGTGAGGATCTGGTTCCCCCGTTTCGTCGTCGACTGTATCAACTACTCTGCGAGGATTACCGTATGGGCGATATTGGGAAAGGAGAGTGTTTGTTTCTTCTTTCAATCATAGCCACATCACCCGACATGGACGAGGTTGAAAAAAATAATTATGAGGTTGACACTGGATGTACCCTTTGTGAGTCTCTCTTCGCACAGCTTTACGTCACTGCCAAAAGCATGAATGCCGTCGAGTGCGTCCAGGTCCTTGAATACATGGAATTTTTGGCCACCTCACACTTTTCAGTAACTGTTCCGCACGACTTATTGGAACGACTAAAGAAGAGAATTTTTTCTTGGACAAGGCAGGCGTTGAAACGACCCAACTTGACGGTGCTGGAGCTACAGTGTGAAGTTGAAGCAATACATCGTCTTGAAGGAGTTCTCAGAAGATCGGTCCTTCTTCCTTTTCTTGCCGGTGATGCGGCGGTAATTGGTGAGATTTCCAGAAAAATCAATTATCGTCTAGAAAGGCCCATAGAGGGAAATGTGGCCTGAGTATATATATATATATATATACAAGAAATGATGCGGGCGTCTTGAAATCTTTTGTTGTTGTTGTTTTTGGTTTGTAGTTTGCTCCAAAATATGCGCTTGAGCGGTGGAAGGTTTGAGCGTGAGAGCCGAGAATGAAATGTAAATAATGGGGTTTTCCCGTGTTATTTTATGGTTAACTGGGAACTGCGATCTCTTTTTCTTCATAAATGGGTTTTGTTTTTACACCTTCTTGAAATTTGACAAGGGGTGCTGTAGAAAAGTGGGAGAGGAACAATGCGGGTAGTTTTTCTGGGGCTTGTGGTGGCCATGCTGTTTGCCGTTTGTGCGGAGTGCGCGAATTCGATGGCCCTCATGTTCGCAAGAGAGATATCTCTTCGCGATGTGGGAAACGTAAGCGTGAGCACTTCTTTTAACGATACGGCTGCAAAGTATGTGGAAAATGCTTTTAAGCCGAATAATGTTTTTGCCGAGTCTTTTGCGTCGCCTCCAGATGTGGCTATTGTTGCGAGGCACTGGTTTGTTGGTGCCCAGGATAAGGTTCTTGATTCCTTTCGTGAACTGAACGCCGTCTTCGACAAATGGTCGAAGGCGCCTGTCGCCGCGTTGGTGAGCAGCTTGAACCAACTGTCATTTACCGATCTAGGGAGACAACCATCAGTTGTCAGCTTCAACGATAACTGCAGTTACGGTGACGAGAGTATTGGCATTGGCTCTCCGGACTTTGGCTTTGATAATCTTTCATTTCTTTTTACTATGCAGGTGAACCCCAGTAATGGCTTGATACAGCGGCTCTGCCAAATTCTTTCAATGCACGATTGCACTCTTATAACACTGGACAGTTCTAAAGAAATCGACGGGCTATATGTGGCGCAAGTGACAATAACCTCGTCCAACAGGAACCTTCTGCTTATAAAAATTCTGAACAATGTTCAGCATGTTTCGACTCTTTTTTTGGATCGCATTCTTCTTGTTCGCGTGGCAGGTGTACAGGTGTACATTCGGAAAAAGCTTCCGCCACTTACTTACAAGGGAAATACGGCTGATTGCCTTTCACACTATTGGTATTTAATCTTCTTGATGTTGTTTTTACCTTTAGCACTCATTGCCGGGCAACGCCTTAAAGCATTTGGAGCCGAATCTGGTAGAAAGTCTGTTCGTGCCATGGAGTGGGATATTCGTAGTGGGGTCCGCTTTAAGGGCCAGTTTCAGACACATTTGTCTGGTAGAGGTCAGGCCTCTCCGGCCGTCATTTCAGGAATTTTCCCTTCGGGGACTCAGCATGGTGTTCAGAACCGAGAGTACGCAGTTTGGCAAAATGCCCCAGGAGCGAAACAATTCCCACACCAAGGACAAAATATGTATTATGACCCCAATAATGCCTGGCAACCCGGTGAGGGACAAGACAGTCAGCAAATTTACCCCATTACTAGTCGAGTTTAGTTGGAATACGAGGGTCATGTATAATTGGCTAGCAATATATATACATATATATATGTATATTTGTATATTTATGTGGGGAGGAAAAGGCAAACGCATTTGCCCGGGTATGAGAAAGAAAAAGGTTCTGAGCTTCTCGGTCCTTAACTTTTTTTTTTCTGTGGCACTAATTGTGGGTATTAGGTATCGGTTGTAGATGTTCTTCTATTCCTGTCGCGGCCTGAGGTTTGCTGTTTGTTCCTTCAATAATAATAATAAATAAATAAATAAAAACAAAGAAATTTAGTTTATCTTTGTGGTGGTAGAGACGCATTTTTATTGCTACTTTTCCCCGGACAAATCTTCCATTAGAAAAGAGTGAAAAACAGTAATAATAATAATAATAGTAATAAGGAATTGTGTGTCTTCAGGTGGGTTTAGCACCCGTCGCAGCTTTTTTGATTTTTTTTTGGTGAGATTAAATTTTCTTTCTTTTCCTATATATATATATATATATATATATATATATATGCTTTTTTTTTTTTTTTTTTCTTTTGGGTATGAAATGTTGAGAATAATAAAAAGGGTAAAGGAGGGGATTACATTCCCTTCATTGCAATGCTGCGCCTGGGGTCATATCTTCTGTGTGCCAAATCGATTCAACGCATGGCTGGGGCTGCCGAGCTGTCAAAAGACTACAAAAAGATAGAGGATGAGGAAAAATATCTTGCGGAAGCGGAGGCGAAGCGCAAGGAGTATGAAAATTATCCCTTGCGCTATCGACTGCTGGAGTGCAAACCCGGATTGCCACTTGCTCTGACCAAGTTGAAGTACCTCCTGGCCTGCCGGAGGACACATCCTGAAGCCGGCGGCAATGCGGAAGACTTCCTGCGGGTTAGTCTTGCGTACCAGGACATCATGAAGGACTACGGCGTGGAGACTGTTGAGAACAAGATTGTGAACCTGGGCAATTTCCAGGTGGATGACCACGAAGCACGAAACTATTTGGAGGCACGCGCCCAAATAAAGAGTTTTATACCTATCTCCACCCTAACGGATCATATTAGGAAGATTGAAGAAGTTAAGGCGCGTCTTGGAGACAACTTGGCAGAAAAAATAGCCGCCAATGACGATGAGGCGATGCTTCTTCTTGAGGACATTGAAGAAATTATGGAGGAGGATGGTCTTCGTACCGTTCGACTGGGGCTGCTTGAGGATGGCAGTGTCAGAGTGGAGAATAAGATGCTCCTTACCGATGGTACTGAAAAGCCATTATACCTTGAGAAACTTTCCAAGAGCCCAGAGGAACAAATTAAAAAAAGCGAAGCAGCTGATGATGGCACTTTGAAAAGTGTGAGCGACGAACCAACTGGGCAGCAAGAATCAAATCTCAATTTGAGACAATACACGGATGGAGGTGAAAAGGCCATATGGACAGCAGATGTCAGTGCCGAAGACATTGAGGTTCTTACAGCAAAGGACAAAGTACAAGATCGCCCAGATGTGGCTGGACTGGCATCTCGGACAGCCACAGAGGTGATGAAAAACACGGAGATAGTGAAGCAGATTCGTCTTGAATCCTCCATACTTTTTGTTTTTTCTCTGTGCATTTTTCTGGTTGTGTACGTCTACATAGAGGGGCTGATGCGCGCAAAGATGCAAAGCAAGAGACGACCCGAGACTATGGAGCATGTTACAACAGATACAATGCTCCCATGGTGGGGAAATGATGCTGAGTACGAAAGCCAAGTGAAACGTATTTTTGTGGAAGAATGGCGTCGGGCCCGCGCGAGTTCTCGTCGCGTCCAGACGTTTCAAGATGGCGTTGCCCGGGAGTCGTTGGATGAGGAGACCAAAAAAGAGATGGATCTAAAAATATTTACTGTGACGGCTGAGCGTCTACGGGAGATGAGGGAGCGTGCGGACAAACACACTGGTCGCCAATAATTCGGTAGTGGTGTGTGTGTTGCTTTTTCTTTGGGTGTTATGTTTTATTTATATTTTTATTTTGTAGACTGACTTACAGCAGAATATGCTCCATATATATATTTTCTTTTACTTATGTGTCTAGGGATTAGGGAGGGGGTTTATTTATTCCCTTCTTGGCTTTAGACGGTGTAAGCAACATCATTGGGTGTGTTTCTTTTGTTTTTCTATAAGTTCTTGCATTTTTTTTCTTTTTTTTTTTTTTTTTCCTTTCCTTATCCCCTTCTCTTTTCTCATCTCTATTTGCTTCACATTTTGTTCTTCTTCCTATGACTCTCTGCTCTCGCGTGGCCTACAAAAAATTTATCCCTCATAATTTTTAAAGGAAAGATGGCGGTTGCTTTTATTTTTGACGCCGGCTCCCTTTACCAAGTGAGTGAAAACGAGGGCGCATTGATCTGTCTGCCTCTGGAGTGTCCGATTCGGTCAGGGGCCGATGTGGCCTGCTTCACTGTGGAGGAATTTTACTTTGTTGAGCGTGACTCGCCCCTTCTCTTGCGACGCTGGAGGGTCTCGCTTGACTGCAAAGAGTATGCACTTCCCGGCCCGGCCCAAAATGTCCTCGTTCACCGTCAGAAGGTGTACTGTTGTGGTAAAGACTCTCTTTTTGTCTTTGACCCTCTCTCTGAGGAGTTTGAGACGCTGGAACTCCAGCGCGGAGTATCCGATTTGGAGGCGTTGGATCATGGGTTTGTTTTTTTGGATGTAAATCAGGAGATTTATGCATACCAATTCAACCAGTACCCTAGGAAGGTGGAACTGACGAGAAGGGGAATTCGGCTATTGGGCCGTTATGGCCAATACGTCGTTGTTCTATTGGACTCGAGTCAAATAGTATGCGTGAATGAGAAGGGTGAGGTTCGGGAGGAAATCCTCTCCTATACATTTACGAAGCCCTTCATTTCTTTGAGCTCAGGTGCTCTCCTTACCGTGAACGAAGGAGGCAAAATATGCCTGTATGCAAGGGACACCACGACTCCGATTGTTAGTGAACTTCAGGGAACCGAGCCGAAACTTCTTTCCGTGCCTTCTGCCCAGCCTGAGGATTCGTGTTTGATCTGCTTCTGTGATTTCGAGGAGGGTGGTGGCGTCACGTTGGACTGTGGCCACCGCTTCCATCGTGATTGCCTTGCCGAGTTCTCCTCTCGGGCCGACGGTTTTCGGGCAAAGGGAGAGCACGTGGTTTTCACGTATGCCGTTTGCCCAGGGGGGTGCGGCAGTCAAATTCGTCATGCCGCTGCCCCTCTCTCCGAATACATGGGACGTTTGCGTCGGGAAATTAACCTAGACGCAGAAAATCGTCTTCGAGAAATGAAAAACAAAACGGTAGAGGAATTACTGTATTATATCTGTTGCCGCTGTGAAAAACCTTTTTACGGAGGTGAACGCCGATGCTTCCGTTCCAATAATGTGGAGCCCGTTAAAAAGCCTTGCGAGTTAATTTGCTCGGAATGCAATGACGATTTTCTCTGTCCAGTTCACAAGCACAATTACGTCCTTTATAAGTGCCGATATTGCTGCAACCCCGCAACACACTTGTCATTTGGCAATCGTTATTTGTGTAACCGATGCGATGAACGTTGGGAAACGACCGAACCAGAGCCTATAGCATGCCCAGGTCCTGGTGAATGCCCGCTTAAGGGCTCACACAGCACAGATGGTTCCATTCCTCTTGGATGCATGCTTTGTGCGTCATTCAGTGCGATGCATATCAACCTTTTTTCCCCTTCTTAATTTCTAAAGCAACGGTGGCCTGTCGGATCTCGTGCCTTCTTGAATCGGGAGTACGCACTTTTTTTTTGCAAAAAGGGATACACATGCGTGTGGTATTTTTTTGCTTTCCTTCTTTTTTTTTTTTTTTTTTTTTTTTATGGGCGGGGGAAATGAATGCACTGGAAACGAAAACAAAGGCAAGTTAGCCGATAGTATCGATCAGAGTAGTAAAAGATACTTACATGTCGGGCCGGGTGTACAGATTCTTTACCGGCAGGGAGCAGCCGCAGTGGTTGTGGGATCTCGCATTGGAAATTCGTATCCCGGCTGTATTCTTGGCGTATGTTGTGTACGTCAACACGCGTTGCTACTATGACGCGCTTAATGCCTATCAAGCGAACTCCCGATGGGCCATGACAAGTGGGAAGCTTTTGGAGCTCCGGAAACTGAACTATCGGTACATCAGTGTTCCTCGATACGCGGTGCGGTACGAATACGAAGTTGACGGCAAAAGGTACGTGTCGACGAGGGCGACAACTGGATCTCCCTACAGGAACTGGATGGAGCGGTTTTACAACGACACCATCACCGAGTCCCAATATCTTCAGGCAATCCCCGTGCTTCGTTTGGGTGAGCGCTGCACTGTCTTTTACGACAAGAAAAACCCTGGGGCGCACTCGGCCCTTGCCCACGACGCCAACTCATTTGAAATTTCAATTCTGAGCTTTTTTACCGTCGTCCCCCTACTCATGGGGTATCTTATGAAGGCACATTGGTGGATGCTCAAAAAGGCGTACATGCCGAACAAAAAAATGCGCGTTCGCTTTCCACCAACAGCCCGTCCGCCCCCTCCTCCGGAGCCGCCGAAAAATGTCTCGCAGATCTCTTCGCTTCCCAAGTCATGAGTGACGAGAGGGAGGTAGGGAAGGAGGAAGAGAGGGATATTTGAAAAAGGAAAGGGTGGAGAGGGAAGAAAGGGCCCGGAAATGAAATGACACCAAACTATCTCACGCTTGATATTTCTTTTCTTGCGATAGGGATTACCGACACAATCACACTTTGGAATCCCACTTGGTATTGTGCATTTTTGTTGTTGTTGTTGTTATTTTATTTGTTCTGCAAACCACTAAAAAAAAAAAAAGAAGGAAGAAGAAGAAGATGTCTGGCGAGAGTGTCTTCAACCTTATTGAGCCTGAGGTGGAGGTACCCCCGCCCCCGCCACGGCACTATTCCAAGTACAGCGGAAACCGGGCCGCTCCACCGACAGCGTCGACGTTTGGCATTCACGGAACGAGTGCCGTCGTGGCAAACATGGGTGGCGAGGTCACGGAGCCCTCCATTCATCCCGCAAAGAAACCTACAGGCATCTTTGGGCGGGTTACCGGCCCCATGGTCAAGCCTTCAGAGTTCCTAAAGAAGAATGAGGGACCATTAACCGCCAGTCGAGGAGCACCGACTGTCAACAAGACAAAATTTCTCAAGAGTGCAAAAGATGCTGCAAAGTCAAAGGATAATATTCCGAGTAGGTACGACAAACCCGTCATGGGTCTGAAAACCGAAAAAAATTACGTGGTGGCAAATGCGGTGGAGAGTGCTCTCGCCATACCGAGCAAATGCATTCCTCCCCCAGAGAATCGTGCCGTCGACCGCGTCGATTTTGGGAAAGTCCCGGTCTATTTGGAGGAAGTCAAGGAAGAAATTAAAGAGCGCCATGCCCTGGTAGAGAGACTTAAGGCTGCTCAGCGTGAGGCTGAAGAAAGATGGTCTGAACTTTCGGCAGAGGAACTTGAAGGGCTGCGACAAGGACTGCAGCGACGGTGGGACGCACTGAATTCGGAGTACCAATCAAGGGGATTCAGCAAAATTCAAACTCCCTTGCAAAAGGCCCATCACGAGGCTCTAGGGAAGGAACTCAATGCCGTGGAGTTTGCAATGCACAAACTGAGTCGTTCACATGTTTTTGTATACGATGATCAGCGTTGATTCTTCCCCCCTCCCTCCCTCCCTCCCTTTTTTTTTCTCCCCCCATTCCTTTTGGTCGGGGAGGGACGGGAGAAGCGCTCGCACTTGTGTAAACCCAGTGGCTGCGAGGTGCAAAGAAAAGAGGAGCAACAAAACGAGAAAAAGTTAATAGAAAACACCGAATGCTGACTCGTGAATCAGCGGCGTGTGGTCTCATTGATGCGTTTGTCATGTAGAGGCTTGAACCCATCGATGCGTATTTGTTATGTATAAACTGTCGCGAAGGATGCTCTCTTTGAAAAATATAAACAGAAAAAAAAAAAAAAAGACAACTTGACGGTTGATGTTTGCTGCAATCTTCATCTGTCATATTTTTTTTATTGTACTTCTCTACGTCTTCTTCTTTTTTTTGTTGTTGCGTCTGTGTATGTGTGAGCTCTTTGGCATTATTGACGGATCTGTATGAAATTTCCAGCAAGTAGGCTTCTGACAGACAAATTTCCGCGGCGTGCGTATGTGCCGTCGCGCGCTGACAGTTTAGAGAACGTTGTAGTGAAAGGACTTCATTTTGGGCAACGCAAATTACTCCTCTCGGAGATTGAGTTTCTCTCGGCATACTTGGAGTCACAGAAGAAATCTGCCAAGCCACTGCTCGTGGTGTACGCTGGTGCGGCGAGAGGTACACATCTTCCGTTTCTATTTAAACTCTTTGAAAAGGTGAAATTTGTTCTTATTGACCCCGCCCCTTTTTGTGCGTCGGTGCAGGAGCTCGCGAAAGATGAGAAAGGCCCTATTTTAGAGCTGTTGGAGAAATACTGCACGGATGAGTTGTGCCTTAGGCTATTGCGCTCCTACTGCTCCAATTATGACATTATTCTCATCAGCGATATTCGCTCTGGCGAGCCGGTCAATCAGTCAAACAAGGAAAATACGTTGATGATTATGCGTGACAACGAAATGCAGCGGAGTTGGTGCTGGTCCCTTAAGGCGAAGGCGGCTCTATTGAAGTTTCATCCACCCTACCCTCGCTGCAAGGACACCGCATCGCGGTATTACGACGCGTCTGACGACACTCCTGACAGTGTTGACTACTTTGACGGAAATCGTCTGTTTGGGGTTTGGGCTCCCAAGTCCTCCTCTGAGTTGCGCCTTTGCGTGGCAGGGCCCTTTATTCCCGGTGCAAAAGTGTCAATGCGAAAGTACGACTGCACTGTGCACGAGGAGCAGTGTTATTTTTACAATACAGAGGATCGCTATGCTCGGGACTGCGAGGCAGAGAAGGAAATTTTGGAACGGTACTTGAAGTTAAATTACGGGACGTTTTCTGGAGATGTCGTTAGTTTGTCAAACGAGATTAGTAAATTTCTGAACTTCCCACTTTTTGCTCCGCTGGAGCCTTCCTTCACTGAAAACGACGCACGGTGGCTGACTCTCATCTATTCGACGAGGGATCCCAAGTGCGAGGAGTGGTTTGAGCCATTGCGTGGCCTGATGACGCTGGAAGTCGTTCAGAATTTGATCAAGACGTATCGCAATGAAAGTTCTGTTCCGTTGAATGTGACGGTTGGACCCACAACTCTCACAAGGGATTTTTGGAAGGTCATGTGCACTGGAAATCTGGTGGAGGCCTACGGTCTTCCACGCCCTCATTGGCGCTTTTTCTCGCAAATTGTGTCGCGCAAGTCGAAAAGGACATCTTTGTAGCAGTTGTCAGGATATCTAACAATTTCCCTAGGTGATGCAACAAGCAGACAAAAGCTAAAAGAAGGAGGGGGGAGGGAAAAGGGGAAAAAGAGCGTGTTAGCAGAAGTAACGGAGAAGAAACACCTGCTCATGCTTAGGTCTTTGGCGCCCTTAACCGCCACCATTACTGCTGTCGTGTTAATGCCCCTGGAGAATGAGGGGGGAAAGGAGAGGAAGAGGTATGGTTGACTTCTCTCTCTCTTTTTTTTTTTTTTTTTTTTTCTTTTCTTCACACGCTGAAAGTGACTAGTCTGAGGGAAGGAAAGCTTCAAAGGCAAATTAACTTGAAAGGGCAAGAAGAACAATAAAAGCAATCACTAACAAAAATTATATACATAAGTACATATACATATATATACATATATATATATATATATTGGGTTGATATAGATCCAGTGAACCATAGCGGGGTGATAAATGCGTATTAGGGTGGACATTGAGTTGCAGGAGCCGGAGCTTCAAAGCATTGATCATATTAAGCACGTGTTGAAATCTTTTCCGGAGGGCGTAAATATAGGATTTTCCACGAACAAGGAGGCACTTGCACGATTGGTGAACAATGCGCTAATGAAGCGCAACTTTGAGTCCATAATTCCAGAGCTGAAGGATAGACTCTGCCATCCTTCTTTGTACGAGGACTGCCTAGATGTTCTTTGTGAGGCTATCTTTGATTCACAGCGCGGGGAAAGAGGGGATCCACTTGATGGGTTCATTAGCTTATTATCACAGCTTCCGGAGAGTAAACAAAATACTGTTAAAAGTGATATTGTTCAACGCGCAATGATTTTTCTCTCGCGACACCGGCGCCTTGATTGTAGTAGGGTACCGCTACTGCCCTATGCAGAGGTCCTGGCCGCACTTACCAAGGCAGAGATGCTCAATGTCCGCAGTGTAGTGGTTGCCCTGATGCAGATGATTCGTCTAGATAATACACGAAGTGCCGGTATCACCTGTCTGGGGAAAATGGTGGAGGTGGCGCATGAGCTTCTCCTGGAACGATTAGATCAACACACCCTTGAAACCCTGCGCTCCACGGTGGCCTTCGCCCAGCAAGATGACACATTTCTTTATGATGTTGAATATATTATGGAACCCTTTGGATGGAGCCAATCTGAAAAGTTCATTAATTTTGCCGTTCGGCTTTCGGGGGCCCATCACACCTCCGCTATTTTGTCCCTGGCGTATGGAGGCGGTGCGAATTCTCGGGAGGCGGTAGTGACATCATCTGTGGACGGAACGATTGGGACGTGGGATCAATCCGGGGTTCTCACTGAGAACCTCGTCCTCTCACGTCATTATGCCTCCTCGATGGACTTTGCAAACTCTGGACGGATTCTTATTGTGGGCACGGTGGGAAGACACGCTTCTGTGGCGCCCGCAATTGTTCTGTATTCGACGGACCCTACGTACAATGAAGAATCCAATTGGCAGGAAAGTGGTGGCGCAGAGCCGCGGGGAGCCCGTTTCATTACCACGGTTCGAAGTTTAAGAGGGACAGGTACCCTGAGGTACTGCTGTGGCGTTACTACTGCCTCGGCCAATTCCGTACTACTGTACGATGGAACCCAAATGATACAAGAATATAATGATCACAATGACATTGTATCTGCTATGCATGTTATTCCAGACAGGGACCACATTCTTGTTAGTGGATCACGGGACTGTTCAGTAATGATATATGATCTCCGCATGGCTCAAAATACCACGACGCCTTCTGCGTATCGCCACTATAGCACTGTCACATCTATTGGGAGTTGCGGCGACTATCTCTTTACCAGCGGCCTGGACCGGCGCGTGGTGGTGCATGATTTCCGCATGATGGGTCAAGGCGTGGCCACAAGGGAGCTGGATAGCGCCGTGCTAAGTCTTTCTGTAAACCCAAATATGGTATGTGCTGCCTCAACAATGACAGGCATTCACCTCATCAACTTTGCCAACAATGCAATGCCAACTTGCAGGGCAGATGGAGGGCGCATGAGCCCACGTTATAATGCCATTGCTTGGAATGCTCAAGGTAATGTCTTGTATGCTGGTGGCGACAGCAATACCCTGGATTTGTTTACTCGAAGTTATCCTGATACTGAGGCATACATAGCCTGAGTGAGTGAGTAATAAATTTATCCCCATATATATATGCGTGTGTGGATATGTGAGTTGGAAGAAGCCAATGAATGGAGATTTTTTTTCTCCTTTTTCCCTATATTTTTTTCCTCTTTCTTTATCATGGTTATCATTCCCTCTCTTTTATGAATGCAGGGAGAGAGGGGGCTCTAAAGGTGGATGCGTCTTTTTCTTCCAGTATATGCCGACCACTTGGTTGATAGAAGCGTGAGTGCAAAGATTATTAACAAGAGCAAGTTGCAACAAAGAACCTAAGACAAACAAAAAGGAGAATCAAAAAAAAAAAAAAAAAAAAAAAAAGAGAGGAAGAGGAAAAACAAATAAAAAAAAAAAAAAAGAGAGAGAGAGAGAGACGTGTTTATTAGGGGAGTGCGATGCAAGCGCAGCTCCCTCCCTTTGAATTTGACCCTGCTTAAATTTTTGTTTCTTTTTTGGTGTTATTTTCCCTGGCTCTTTTTGTCCGCCTCTTGGCTTTCTCCGTTTGTTTTTTGGTGTGCGTTTGCCGTGTCGACGCCGCAGAACGTTTGTGGTTTGTTATTTTTCAAACTTTTTTTTTTGTTTAGTTTTTTTTTTTTTTATTTGGGGTGGGGGAGTTGCCAGGAGTTAACTAAAGCCAGTGCTTAGAGTGCACCGCCAAAGGGGGGAAAATGGATGACGGGACGCGAATTCCGGAGGATGTCGAGGTATTCCTTCGCGCTGCACGGGCGAAGGATACCTTCAAATGCGCCGAACTTCTAAAAGAAACTCCTAGTCTTATCAACTCCGTAGAGGCAGGCGGATTTTCGGCGCTTCACTTTGCCGCATTTAATGGCGATCTCGAGATGATTCGCATTTTGCTTGAGTTCAAGCCAAACCTGGAACTGAGGAACTATGATAACAATACTCCGTTAATTATGGCCGCGAAGGGTCATCAGAATTCTGCCATCAAACTGTTGGTGGATGCAGGCGCTGAGGTGAACCTCAGAACGCCTACGGGCGGAACGGCAGCACACTTTGCGGCTTCAATGGGTTATGTGGACACTGTTCGCTGTTTGGTGGAGCTTGGTGCGGATGTTATGCATGAGGACAGCGAAACGGGAACACTGCTCCATTGGGCCGCTCACTCTGGAGATATTAACTGCATTGGAGAAATGATTTATGGATTCAAGATTCCGATTAACGTAAAGGACGCCCATGGTGGAACGGCGCTTTTTACTGCTTTATTCATGAAGAAGTTTGAGGCGGTGGAATTTCTCCTTGAACACGGTGCGGATCCGCGGGTGATGATTGAGGGGGACAAATCCACACCGCTTCATATCGCTGTGGAACACGCGAATACGGAATGCGTGAAGCTTCTTTTGGTTTTTGGTGCCGATCCTCACGTGGCGAATACAAGTGGCGAGACGCCCACCTCCCTTGCAGAGAAGGCTAAGAATAATAGCGCGCTCCGGGAGCTGATGAAGCCCATGCTCAGTGAGGAAAAGCGAAAAGAGGAGGCCGCACGCTTTAAGACTCAAGGAAATAAAGTCTTTGAGGGAGGTGAGAACGTAAAAGCTGCCAAGTTCTATACCCTAGCCATTCACCTCGACAGTACGAATCATGTTTTCTTCAGCAACCGGGCGGCAGCCTATTTTAACCAGCGCTACTACAACGGAGCGTACTGGGACTCGCTTCGCTGCATCTCATTGGCCCCCGACTGGCCAAAGGGATATTTCCGAAAGGCTGCGACGGAGCTCGCCATGAAGAAGGCGGATGAGGCGCTACAAACGTGCGAGCGGGGTCTGCGCCTGGATCCCAAAAACAAAGATCTTTTGACAATAAAGGAAGAGGCCCGTCGACAGAGAAACAAATGATTTTTTGGTGCGGTTGTTTACTATTTTTTGTTTGTTTGTTTGTTTGTTTTTCTTTTTAGCGGATTGGCCTTATGCTTCTGAAGTTGTTAGGTCCCACGTAACTCATTTTTGTTTTATTGTTTTTGGTTCTCTATGCGCCCTCCCGCACGGCGTCCAAACTTGGACGGCACAATTTTTTTTTTAAAGGAATAAAGTTGTGAAATAAATGCGCGGGAAGAAGAAGCACACGCAGACAATAAAAGAATTTAAAAGAAACAAGTGGGTTGCTCATGGCTCTTCTGGCCGTATCGCCCCGTCCCCCGTTTATTGGCACGTTGTTTTTATTGGTCTCTCTGTCTGTCTCTTGGCAGCTGAATGTGCGCTCTTTTCTGCTTTATTCTTTTTTCTTTTTTTTTTTTTTTTTTTACGGCCTTTATATTGGGGGAATGTTTTGTGAAGTAACGTGAAAATAGGGGCAGGACACAATTGTTTTTTTCTTTTTTTTCTTACTAAGGTGGGCAAAATATATATATATATATATATATATATATATATATATATATAGAGAGAGAGAGAGTGTGTGTGTGTGTGTGTGTGTGTGTTTGTGAGAAGGACTGAATAGGAAGTGAAGGGAATGAGTCAGAAACGTGGCAACGCCATGGAGGTGGCGATCATATGTTTGGAGTCGGCGGATATGCGGGATAAGCTTTTGAAAGGTGTTGGTGCTTTAGCAAAACTTGGCTTTTGTTTGATGCATGACAAATCGCTTCTTGACTTTGCCGATGCTACATCGGAAGTGCGGTCCCTCATGCGCATATTGGCTTGGCTTTCTAACCTTCAGAGCATCTATAGTTTGCTCAACAAGGAGCAGTGTGGCGTGCGCGACTTAATTTTTCTTGTGCGTGTGGTTGGTGAGGGTGTCTTCAAAGCGGCTGACAACGTGGCGTTCCTTGGGAGGAAAGTCCATGAGAACACACCATTTTTCCAGAGATTCAGTTATGTCTCTTGTTTGGGCCTCTTTTGGGCCCACCTGGCAGCCGTCGCGCTCGCTCTTTTTGACATTCGATATGATCGTCTGTTTAGCAGCCGCAGAAAACAATTTATTAACCTCTTTCAGTGCACGTGTGATCTCCTCACTGCGGCCGCTGGTGCTGCTGTTTTTGGATTTGAATTGAATTTCATTTGGTTTTCCCTGCTGACTCTGCTAAGCTCCTTTCTTGGGTGTGTGGATGGTGTGCGGTCTGCCGCTATTGTTGCCAGACGGCGTGGTGCGAGCAGAAATAGAGATTGAAATTGTTTTTGCTGGTACAGAGACTCTTTGCTTGCTCCTTTTTGTTGTTATCATTGGCCTGCTCAATCGTTTTTTTTTTTTTCTGCACTTGTTTTTCCCCTTCTGTATACTATTTCTTTTTCTTTTATTATTATTATTATTATTATTATTATTATGTCACCAGTTGGGAGTTATATCCATTTTTTTTTGTGCGCGTGCTTTTTCCTTTTTTGTTGTTCGTACTTCACTTTGTATCCGCGTGCCGCCTCCCCTCTTTTTTTTTTTTTTTTTTGCTTTTTTTTTGTTTTTTTCTGCCTGCGTCTGTCCGCCTCCGTTGTGTTTGCCCGGCAGGATGATGTCCGCGCGGAAACACCGTTTTTTTTTTTTTTTTCTCCCCCTGCAGCCTTGTTTTTAGTGCTCAAACACAGTCAGGCAGGAAGAGGAGGAGGAGGGGGGGCGGATGTCAACGATTTGTCAGGCCGTCGACGGCTCTACTTTGCAGGAGAGGTGCCGCATAGACTTGCTGGACGCCGTGGCGCAACTGACACGTCACTGCGAGACACTGCCAAAGAAAGGCGTGACAGTAGCGGCGTCGAATCTTCCGTCGTGCACGTTTGCAAAAACCGTCTCGCACTCTGTGAAGAAACACCACAGCCAAGACGAGTCCGCGGTGCAGAAGTACATTGCCGAGAAGGAAGGGACACGGGAGCGCACACTGCAGGCCTCCTGTCAAACATACTTTAAAAAGCACAACCCGAAGTTTGAAGGGGCGCTCCCTCGCACGGAGCCCTTTCGAAACACACGCAATCGCAATGAGTTGACAGGACGAGAGCGAGACTTTGTGCATCGCTACGCGGAAGCCGCGGCTAAAAAGTCTCTTGAGCGGAAGGTTAACGATGACGTGACGACGCAATGTGCAACGGAGGCATACCAAAAGGCGTTCCGCGCGTACACGGGACGGGATCCCAACAAAAAGGAACTCGAGGAAGTCGAACGAATGTGGTTTGCCGTTTCGGAAGACGGTACAGTTGGCGTTATTCAAAAACCCCACTTTTACGGCCCTCATTCGCATGTGTCTATTTGCAATCGACGCCATGTACGTTGTCCCAACCAGGTTTACAATGCAGAGCTGCCACCTGTGCGTGGGGCGCGTACCCGCTTTCCCGGCCCCATTCCTGTATGGTCCTCGACACAGAACACACATACATTGGTTTCCGCTGACACGTACGTCCCGGGTCTACACAACGTCAGTAAATTTGGATCAGCATGATCGTAGAGGAATCTTTTTATTGTTTCTATATGTTTATTGCTTTTTTGCTTGTTTGTTTTCTCTTGTCCCTTTTTTTGGGGGGGGGAGAGACCCAAATGTACATTGCGAAATGGGGCTCTTCTAATCTTCTATGCCAATTTTGTTTGTTGTTGTTGTAGTTCTTGGAGAGAGCCCACGATGTGTTGCATGTCATCTAGTTGCTTGCTACCAGAGGGATTTTTTGTTGTCAAATTTCCTTTTTTTTTTTTTTTTTTTCTCACGGCCACGTCGTCCAACAACGACAAATGAATATGGCGTCAAGGAAGGCGAGTGGGAGGTGTTGGCGCTTCAAGAATGGTGGAAAGGACGGCAGATCAGCGGATACGCACCACGGAGTGGGAAGACATCCAATACGGGCACGGCAACCGGGTCGGGAATTACGCCACCAATGAGCTTGAGATACTTGCGCAGAAAATTGCGGACGAAAACGTCAACGCATGTCTTAAAGTGTATGATCCCAACGAAGAACGTGTGCGGGATAAAATGGAGCGTGGCGGGTATGAAACAGAGCTGCAACTAGGCGAGCCCAATACAGGCGGTGACACGGCAGACAATGTGATGGATGACGACGACGAAGACGAGGTTCTTTTGGCATTCCGAAGGAAACGCATGGCAGAGCTGCGACAACAAAAGGAGGCGCAACGGTTTGGTGTCCTCCGTCATATATCTGGTTCAGACTACATGTCTGAGGTGACGGAATCCTCTGCGGCAAATTGGGTCATTGCTCTGCTAGTGAAACCGGGGAATGGCGACAGTGAGAAGCTGCTTTCTGTCATGCGTGTGGTGGCGCAGCGTTACTGTGAAGTGAAGTTTCTCTCAATGATCTCAACAGAGGCAATAAAAAACTTTCCTGATCGGCACCTTCCCTGCGTTCTGTTTTACAAGGAGAAAAAACTGCAGCAACAACTGACGGAGCTGACGCCATGGAGGTCGAAGGATAAACAAATCTCTTTGAACTCTGTGGAGCGCGTCCTGCACCGCTACGGTGTGATCAGGAATGAGGAGTTCGAGGCAGAGGAAGAGGAAGATTGACTAATATCCGCATCAAACGTCACGAATTTCCCTTTTTTTTCCTTTTTCTTTTTTCTGTGTGTGAGGTGTGGCGGCCATTTGGTTGCCCACATCACTGTGCTTGGTGTACTCTGTCTCCGTCGTCGCCCCTGTTGCTATGGCTGCCACAATGACTCCTATTGCTGTGACTTGCACTTCATTGCCCGGCTCTTTTTTTTTTTTTTTTTTTTTGCATTTTATTTTCGCTTTCCAACATTCTTGTGCAGTAACCATGTCCGTTGATGGCCTCATCCTCTCGGACTTACGCCGAGTTCTATCAGAGGCGAGGCCCAGTCCCTTTTTTTTTCTTGTGTGTGGGCCATCAGGATCCGGCAAAACATTTGTTCTCCACGCCGTTCGCCAAGGTGCTGGCGTCTACGGGATGAGTGTTAGCCATGGCGTACCTTCAATGGATGATGGAATGGAACCTGAAACGACAGAGTGGAACGATTCAAGGGCGCGAATTTTTTATGTGGATTACAACGCATTGCGCTCCAATGACAGCCGTGCCTCGTCGATATCCGAAAAGTACCCGGCAGGCACCGTTGTGCTGCTGGATGATATTGAGGCCGTTGACTATCTTCTTCGTTTAAACGCGTCCTTGCACCGCCTTGAGGACATGGTGAGTCGACTGCTCCGCTCGCCACGTTGTGCACTGGTGACTTCAGCAACTGACGTGCTCCATGTGCCTCGGTGGCTTTTGGCGATTTGGACTCCTTTCACGTACAAAACGCATGAACTCACCTCGAGTGCCGCCCGTCGCCTCATTCGTTCCTTCCCTGATGCCGAGGATCTTTTGGCGTTTGTTTCGGGAGGAAACGGCGAAGAGTTGGTCTCATACTTGAGGACACGAAGGGCTCTTACGTTGATGTTATGCCATGCACAATGTGAGAAAAACAGGTCGTGTGTTCCCACTTCTCCCACTGCACTGCACTTCCTTGGTCATGCCGCTACCGCACCACAATTGCCGTCGTCCTCTCGGGGAAAGCTCTTTGGACTTGGTCCTGCGCTGGAGCGAGTTGAAACACTCGTGCGACTTTTTATGGAGCGGGAAAATCTTGCGGGTGGCAAATTGCTTTCAACCGTTGCACCCACCACCGGAATTCTCCTTCATGGACCTTCGGGCAGCGGCAAGACGGCAATAGCGAGCAGAATTTCTGCATCCTACCCTGGCAAATGTTTCTTAGTTAGCTGTGCCGCTCTGTTCTCCAAGTACCTTGGCGAAAGTGAAGAACGTCTGCGGGAAGCGTTTCGAAAGGCACGTTTGTGTGCGCCATCTGTGCTGGTGCTTGACGACGTCGATGTTATCGGAACCTCACGCGGTGCCTTTTTGAATGGTGGCACGGGCGATGGCCTTAACGTGACAAAACGGATGTTAGCGGCGCTTCTCTGTGAATTAGATGGCCTTATTGATAATAAAAGTGTCCTTGTGATTGCCACAACCAATGTTCCTGGGACGCTTGACGTCGCCCTCTTGCGACAGGGACGTTTTGAGACGGTTGTTTACGTGCCGCCGCTTAGTTTTGAGGCTGCAGAGGAAATGGCACTGGAGTTCTTTGGTGCCTTTGACGGCGCGGCGGTGAAAGCACGGGAAGAGTTGAGTCGGTTTGTGGCAGGCCGCGCGGAGGGGTGCGCTGCAGCCTCGTTGAAGGCGTTTCTTCGAGAGGTGTTTGAGAAGCAGCAACAACATCAGGAGATGGAGGTCAACAAAACGGCGAGAGTGAAGGCTGGCGAGAGGGAGACGGCTCTCTTTTTGCCCAGCGAGGCGCTGGTACGTGCTACACTTGCGAAAACTACTGTGCTGCAGCGTGTAAATTACGAATATAGTTTTCTTTAATAAACGGAGCCTTATTTGATTGCTTTGTTGGTGCTTTTGGGCTCTTTGTGTGCTTCCATTTGAGCGTTTCTCTTGCTGCTCTCTCACAAACACAAACAAAAACACAGACGTATTACCCTTTTTTCTCCTCTTTTTTGTCTTTCTCCTTCTGTGTGTGTGTGTGTGTGTGTGTGTGTGTCTGCCAGTGGTTAGTGGCTTGGTTCATGGAATATAAGTCAACTTTTGAGCTTCGACAGCAGGTTTTGGACCTCCCAACTCACTTGACCTCAAGGGCGAGGGCGGGAAAAAAGAATAGCAGCTCCAACCCCTCATGTTTGCCGCATCCTTTAAATGCAAACAACAACGGAGCAGTAATGGATTCTGATCCGGATGACCCCACTGCCCTTGTCCGTGAGCTGCCGGCACTGGACAAACTTAATGCTCTCAGTGCGTCGTTGAAAAATGAGGAAGAGGTCCAGAACTACGTGGAGGCAAGAAATCTTTCTCTGGAGGATACTGCAAAGTACATAATGGCAAACGGAAGTACTGGTCAGAAAATGTCGTTGTTCCAGCGTCTGAAAGAAACGCTGGTGGGTTTAGACATGTCTAGCATCTCGCAGGTATTGATGATTGCCGTGGACAGCATGTGGGTGCAGGAACCAGAATTACAGTGCTTCGCCCCGGGTGCCTTAATTGAGGTGTTGCCGTTGCTGAACAATACCGTGACACGAGATCTGTTGATGGTGACAAGTACAATGTTAAGCGTCAAAACGGCGGAGGTCCGCATAGCATGGAATAAATTATTTTCGGCCTTTATTGATTATCTGAATAACAAACAGCTTGACAACGATGTGGTGCCCCTTGCTCTTAAAAAAACCGAACATGTTGAGCCACAGGATCAGCGCGAGCTTAGTTGTGACCTCATTGGTGCTGTCTGCCGCTATCTCCCTCACGATATTGTAGAGCGAAAACTTATGAACAAAGTGCTGGCGTTATGTCAGGACACTAACGTGGGAGTGCGGCAACACATGTGTCAACAACTAGGCATTGTAGCACGTGCTTTGGGCGTGGATATGGCCAAGGAAAAAATTGCTCCGGAGCTTTTTGAGCTGCTTAACGATGAAGACCAGACTGTCTCTCGAGCAGCATTTTCCTGTTTAGTTGATTTGGTGGAGTTTTTTGGTCCTGCGTACCGCCGCGAGCACCTCTACCCCATCATTAAGAACTTTATATCGCATCCACCGGAGGAAGTTGTGAGCCTCATTGTTGGCGAGTATGGTAGGTTTCTGTGGGAAATACGGGCGGATATTCAGACAAGTGAAGATGTCACACTGTTTGCAGGCTTTTACCAGAACGCCGCCTTAAAAGGCGATGACGCGACTCGCCATCGGTGTGCATATAATTTGCCCTCCGTTACTGCGTCACTGCCAATTTCGGTGTTTGCGCTTCACCTGGCTCCATGCTGTGAAGCGCTTGCCACTGACACCAGCGAACCCGTGCGACGGAGCATTGCTGCCGGATTGCATGAATTGGTTGTCCTCCTTGGGGAAAAGGCCGCTTTGTATCTTCCGAAACCCTTTTTATGGCTTTTAGATGACTCTCAGAAGAGTGTTTTAAACGCCCTTTCTACTCACTCACACGTCTTGATGGACGCCTTTGTGAAGCAGCTGAAACCGACGGAGCGCACGGCTTTTTTTTCTAGTGTAGAAGATGTACTACTGCGACTTGTTGCACGCGCCGAGCGGGAGTGGCGTATTATGGACCATGTCTTGGACATTCTTTCCACGTACTGTAAGGAATTCCAAGAAACAAATTTGTACGAGAAATTTATACCCCTTCTTTTAAAATATGGGAGAAACGGGGCATTTTGCCTCAAAAATCGCTGTGCTGAAATGTGTATTAAGATCGTTGCAAACATGTCAAACGTCAATAGTAAGGTTCAGTTCTTTAGCAAACTGAACAACGAATATGCGCATGGTTCTTCGTGTCTTGGGCGCAAGGACTATTTGCGTTTTGTCAGGGCCGCATGTTCTTTATTTTCTCGCCGCTTTATTCGTGAGAGGATGCTTGAGTGTTGCTTTGAGCTTCAACATGACCATATGGATATGGTGCGTTTAGAACTTGCGCGTACGCTGCCATGCTTGCGTAGGGTTCTCGAATTGTCAACGTCAGGGAGCGCGTTTGAGGAGTACCAGGACATGGTACACCGTCTGCAGATGGACGAAAGCAGCGAGGTGCGGGCCTTAACCCAAACCGGAGTGGAGTTAATCGAACTGCGTGATCGAGGACTGAAACGTGACGCTGGTAGAATAAAATTTGAGGAGGAGAACAGGGAGGATAGGCGACGCGAGCAGGCGGAGGGGCAGCTGCTGGATGTAGCGAAGGAGTACGATAAGGCAGAGCGCCGCTCGAAGCTCCGCGACCTGCTGAAGACCGAGCGCGAGAAGGAGCAGGCGGAGTTAGTGCGCAAGAGTGGAACTGTCAGGCGTCTGGTAAAAGGAGCAACGGTCCAGGCAACGCCCACCAAGCTCTCGCGCCCAATACCAAAGACACAAACGACATATTCCGGAGGTGCCACCTTTCAGAAGAAAGTGCAGCGATAAAAATAAAATAAAAAATGCGTGGTAACCCCACTTAAAAAAAAAAAAAAAAAAAGATGAAATTGAAATGTAAGAAAAGAAATGGGATTGGCGTAACCGTATAGTGAGGATTACCTATAGAGTTATGTTTACCGTGTATGGAGTGACGGAAGGGAGGAAGAACCTCGCTGATATTTTACCCGAAGCATCGTTTTCCTATCGTGACAGTTTCTTTTTTCGTTCTCCTCCCCTTAACCCTCCTATTCATCCTATTTTTCTTTTCTTTATTTTACCTTTGTTGCCGGCACGTTACTCCTGTTGTCAGTCTATACATATATCTATATATATATTCTTTTATGCGTGTGCTTTCTACGTGCCAAGAGGAAGGGTGGCGTGAATGGCACGGTGGGATACACGTTATGATGTATTTCGTTTGACGATGATGCAGTGGTCGCCCTATTAGGGCATTTTTGTGCTGCTCATTTTTGTTTGTTTGTTTTTCTTGCGCAACAAAGCCCTGTCCCATTGCATTTTTGACTCGTCTGGATTAAACTTGGTGAACTTGGTTTAATTTTTCTGCTTGCTTTGTTGCCTGCCCCCCCCCCCCCCCCCCCCGTTTCTGTATCTCTGACTACGTATGTGAGTATTATCCCGCGAATTGCATGCAGTGTTCGCTTCTTTGGGCTTTCAAGCAATCATTTTGTTGTTGTTGTTTTGTTTTTTTCATGATTTTTATTTAATACATCCCATCTTTCATTACTATTATTTTTTTTTTTTTTTTGACTTTCTCGTTGTTGTGAGCTTCTCTGCCTTCAGTCATGCGCGACGCTCCATAATAATGTCAGATGCAGTCGAAGGCTCATGGTGCGACTCCGGAAGCGACTGGAGCGCGTCGAGTGCCTCCCCGGAACTGCGCAGCCTTATCAACGCGGCGTTTCTTCGATTTATATCCACAAGTCACGGTCGTCTCAAGAGGCCCACACATCGGCATGACGAGGTTCCCTCCACGCATTCCAGGAGGCGTGGGGTTCGTCAGAGACTGGAAGAGTCCCTTCAAATTTCCGCAGGGACGACAGGAGTCCCGTCCGCTCTTCTTGATGGCATCGTGTCGGCAATTCGGCAGCAAAGTGATCACGTGCACGCGGCGGCTCTCATTGTGCATCATCTCTCTGACCCTGAGAACAGTGCTCTCCGTCAGGCCTTATTAGAAAGTCGGCTCTCCCCCACAGCGCTTGCGTCCATGGCGGAGAGTGAACTCGTCAACCCAAAACTTAGAGAAAAGTGGGAGAAACAACGCCTGAAGAATTTGGAGCAAAAGACCGTTATTTTTGTTGAACAGCTTACAGCAATGGTGACATCCATCTACACCTGTCCCGCCTGTGGCGGCCAACGGTGCACTTTGAGACGGCGACAGGCCGACAAGCAGAAATGGGCTGGCGACGATGAAGCACCTAATCTCTTGACTTGTTGCGCCTGTTCTCATGCCTTTAGGCGGTAAACGTAAACAAATGGCAGTTGTGGGAGACGCTCTGCATGTGTGAAGGTCACAAAGATTTTTTTCTGCCACAAGGATGCATTAAAGAAAATCAAAAAGAAAAAAAAATGGGAAGAATAGAGCAGGAATGAAAATGATGGGTCGCTGGTGAGAAGAAGGAGTTGAATGTGACGCGTCTGCAGACGTATCACCTTTCTCTCTCAATGTATAATATATACCGAGAAGAAGGGAGACGAATGCTTTTCTCATGACTGTATTGCCTGGGCAAAAATGATATGCTTCCCAATGCGTTATTACTTGGGTGGTTGGGGAACAAATTTTGTATTGATGTTTTTTGTGTGAATATGTTTTTTTGTTTTGTTTTGTTTTTACATTTGTGTTTTACGTGCGTCATTTCTACATTTTGGAGCTTCTTTGTCGCGGTAGAGTACCACGGCGAGGCAGACTGGGATCAGTAACGACGAACATGTCCGAGGAGAACGCAGATGAAGCGGTGGGTGTCAAGCGGCCTCGTCCTGTTTCATTCACAACCACGAGTACCCCACTGGAAGATTCCGTGGATGTCATCCCACGTGTTAGTCCCCGAACCCCGCTGCCGCTGGCGCGGAAGTCAGTGATGGGTTCGCCCGTTGGCTCCTTTGGAAATAACACTCAGAGCGCCACCCCTATTAAACCGAAGGAGCAGCCAATGATTGAGGGAGTGCAAGGCAGCAGCCGCGTTGCCAAGTGGAGCGCCCTGATTGGCGGTGCCCTCATGCAGGGTCGAGCCAAGGAGGAGGAGGAACGAATCAACGCCCTTGCTTTGCGCATTGTAACTGCCATTCCCGGCGATCGTTCCCTGGCAGCAGACGGCTTCCGCGTGCTCTTGGTGAACTTGAGGGACTCTAAGAATACCAAGCTTCGAGAGGACATTATTGAAGGACGATTGCCGGTGGAAGTGCTGGTGCATATGTCAGAGAGGGATTTGCTGAACCCGGAGGCGAGGAAAAATCAAGAGGAGGAATTCTTGAAGCGGAGCAAGGACACCGACCTAAGTGAAATACGGAGGGCAATGGCCACCAAGTCAACTCTTTTTCCTTGTCCGTCATGCAAGGCGAGGGATTGTTCATGGACACAGAAGCAAACGCGTTCTGCCGATGAACCCATGACCGTCTTTTGTATCTGTAATGTTTGTGATCACAAGTGGAGACGCTACTGAGGGTGGGGAGTTCTAGGTGTATATGGAAACACTCTTGGCTTTGTTTTCCCTTCTTGCTGCTCTGTTGCCCGTACTTCAAGAAGTTTACTTGAATGGATGCTTGTGTGTGGGGACGTTGTATCTGCGGCTGCCGCACTTATTCTCCTTGCATCATTTCTTGTGGACATGAATTTGTACGTGCATATGTGCGTGGGTGTCTTTAATGCTCTCTCTCTCTCTCTCTCTCTCTTTTTTTTTTTTTTTTTTCTTCCACTCCGTTTGTCTTTTCCTTGCAGTGGGATTCTTCTGAAGGATGGAGACGATTGAGGAGCTGAGGTTGAAGTTGACTGAAGCGCAGGAAGAGTGCCGACAATTAAAAGCCGAGAATGAGGAGCTGCGACGGAAACTTGGGCTTTCCCCACAATTAGCCGGTGCTTGTTTACCGGGAGGCATTTTGTCATCGTGCTCTGAGACCACGAATTCGACGGATCGTCTTATTATCGAGCTGCAAAGAAGACTTTGGGATGCACTCCAACGCAATTCTTTTCTGGAGCAGGAGTCACATGCAGGGCACAGTGCACTCATACAGACCTATGAGGGATTCATTGAACGCCTGGAGAAAGAACTGCACCGGTGTCAAGAACTGCTTCGCCAACAGACAAGTGATTCTCCTCCAGCCAAAAAGCCAGGGGGGTGAAATTGGTTGAGTATGAGGTTAGGCGTTGCATTATATATATATATATATATATATATCATTTGTCTATACACATCCACTATCGAGACGTGCACTGATGAAAGATACTCTCATGTCGTCAACTTTGCATTGTTTTTATGAGCGCATCTCTTTATTTGCATGTTTATTGATTGCCATTCTCTTGTTGTATGCATTTGCGTAGTCCAGGCACTTTGGTGATCTATTTGCCCGTGTTTTTTCTTTTTTTTTTGTTGTGTTTTGTTTTGTTTTGCTCTATTTGTATACATGTCATTTTTCATTGGTTTCATCTTTGTTGTTGTTTTGGCCAATTGAACGCCTCTTTCAACTTTAGTAAAGAAGCCATGTTTTCCCTGGGAAACAGAGAGACACCGCAGGAGTGTGAGGGAAATTCCCAGAGAGAGGCTTCTTCAAGAAGCTCACCGAAGTCAAGCGATGTTCCGTACCAAGAAAAAAAGGAATTCTGCACCTGGCGCAAGCATGTGCGTGATCTGTACCAGTACCTCGTCCACATTGATCTTGTGTGGGAAAGTCCTTCCGCGCGGTTGATGCCGTATATGACTGCGAAAAACGGCCTGGCCACGCAGACCGTGTTGTGTTGTTCCAGAACTGGTGGCTTGGAGCAGCAGTACATACAGTTACTATCTGTGACGACACCGAACACTGTCGAGTCGCTTGATCGCACGTATGACACTTACTGCGACGCAACTGGCGAGGTTGGTGGCTACGGGATGGCGCCAAGTCAAGTAGACATGAAAGTTGAGCGGCGCATGCTACACGATGGGGATCCTTTAATAGTGCGTTATATGCACGCCAATCCGCTTATCATCGCATCAGGCTCGAGTGATGGCAATGCGTACGTCTTTGATTGGTCGCGTATTTCGCTAAACAAGTTTCCCAATGATCCGGCTCGGCCCCGTGCTCCGCTGCCACCCAATGAACTCAGTTCAAACCCCACCGACGAGGAACGCATGACGTACCACAGGCGAATGCAGGCCTTAAATGCGGTGGTGACGGAACAGGATCGATGGGACAAGCGAAGAGGGGAGGGACAACATCTGCTGAAACTTTCTGGCGGAAGCGGTTCTTGTGAGGCACTTGACTGGAGTGTTACCTCCGATGGGACGCTGGCGTCCGGTTCGGTTGGAGTTGTATGCTACTGGCACGTGGGAAACACGGCGAAGGATGATGATCGCACCCTCACGCCGTCCCATACGTATAAACTGGAGGATGGTGAGGCTCGGGTGAGTGAAATTTCCTTTTCTTGGAAGGATCCCCATGCGTTTGTGGTATCGTGTGAAACCGGAACAGTTCTCTACGGCGATGTAAGAACACCGGATCTCATGGAGCTGTTTTCACTGCCAAACGGAGTCACATCGATTTCTCTCTCGCCACTCGATGGTAATTCTTTCTTGGTTGGTGCAGAGAATGGCGAGGTACTTTACTACGATCTTCGTAAAAGCACAGATGCTGTGATGTTATTTGGCCGTATGCACAATGGGCCGGTGTCTGTGGTCCAGTGGTGTCCGCACTCTCGACATCTCTTCAGCAGTGGCGGCGGCGATGGGAAGTGCTGCATTTATAACGCCACGTCAAATCGTTTGCTGTTTAAACACGCGGGACACACCGAAAATGTAACGGATCTCTCGTGGAATTGGCAGGAGGGATTTGAGGGTCACCTGATCTCTGTGGATAGCAACAGCGTGATGCTCTGGAGGCCCAGGGACATGTTTTTTGTCTCGTGAATACGGATGGTGTTTGCATCCGCACGCATAGAAGATAATGTGATTTCTTTTTTTTTTTTTTTTTTTTTCTTTCTCTCTCTCTCTCTTTCTCTCATTTTCATGTTTCTTTGTGTTTAGAATTGCTCAGTGTGGTGATTTTTCCGTTGCAAACGAGTGAATGAGGGCGTCTGCAGCCGTCTGGCTCTCGTGCAACACAGCCGACCTCTGCACACGGCAGAATGGTGAAGGAGAAACAGTGCCTTGTGTCTCTTCTGTCTTTTCTCTCTGGCCCTCACGGTGGTGTTTTGGGAGAATTCGCCCGGGAAGGCCGCGGAGGCGTCTAAAATAACAACCGCAATAGAAGCAAAAGGGGAAGGAAAAAGAAAAGAGGGAGTGTTTTGAGGAACCGTGAAGAACGGCAGCAACAAAACAAACAGAAAAAAAAAACGAAGGGGGGAGGTGCGAGCGGTTTTATGAGCGGCACACCGTCGAATGCGGTTTGTACGGCGTGGCCGGAGATGGCGCTGGACAGTCGCATTTTGGAGGCCATCAAGCGCGTTAAGTGGAATTTACCCACCCCAGTGCAGGGCGCATGCATCCCGCTGGCCTTAAAAGGGCGTGACTTGGCGTTACAGTCTCGCACGGGCAGCGGGAAGACGGGTGCCTTTGTCATTCCCATCCTGCAACGCGTCATTACCGAGACGGAAAAGATGTGCAACCGACGCACCGCAAAGAACCCTGTAGCTCTTATCCTGCTGCCCTCTGTGGAACTGTGCGAACAAACCGTTGAGGTGGTTACTGCTCTGGCAAAATACGTGAAACCGAGGGTTGTGGTGGATAACCTGACATCTCGCGGAGTTGTCACAAAAGCACGTGTAGCTGCCGCCCCCATTCTCGTGACTACCGCCGCGCTGCTTGGCAAGCTCTGCCGCAGTGGTACAGTGACCGCCGAAGATCTGGCAACCCTTCGCTGTGTTGTCATTGACGAAGTGGATTTTGTCATCTCCATTGCCGAGGGTTCACTGCGCGCCGTGCAGTCTGTTTTACCACCCTCAGTGCAGACTATCCTTTCATCCGCAACATTGACAGACGGAGTGGTGCACATTAAGAGTCAGCTGCTCCATAACCCTGTCACCATCACGCTGAGCACAGGCGATGAAGACGAGATGAACCCAACAGAAGGTGAAAACATCGTCGTAGAGTCCCGCATCACGAAGAAAGGAATTAATTCCGAGGAAAGGCTGCGGCACTACTACCTTGTGGCCACCGAAGAGTGTCATCATCACACTCTGTTGTATGCGCTATACCGTCTTGGACACATTAAAGGCAAGACCCTCATCTTCGTCAATGAGGAGGAAAAGACGTATAAATTGCAGAGTTTTTTGGCACAGTTGGGAGTGGAGGCGCTTGTGTACGATTCCAACTTGCCTCTAAACGTCCGTGTGGACACACTTCACCGTTTTCAGGTGGGATCCGTCGGAACGCTGGTTTGTACCGACGGGACGCTAGAGAGTGTCGACAACCTGCAGGAATCCATACCGGGGGCGGAGGCGCAGGCTACACGAATGCACAGCAAGAAAGGGAAAAGGACAGAAGACCGTCATGATGGGGCCTTACAGCGGGGAATTGATTTTTCAGACGTCCGAAACGTCGTTCTCTTTGATGGCATAGCGCATCCGACAACCTCCGCCTTCTCTCGTTACACCCATCGAGTCGGGCGTGCCGGCAGGGCGGGTAAAAGCGGCATGGCGATCACACTGTTTACCCTTCAACAAGCGCAGAGGGTGACACGACATTTGCGCCGTCATTTGGGGGCCACTCATGATACATTTGAACCGTTCAAGCAACTCCGCCGCCAGGAGGCGGCAAAGCTTCAGTATCGGGTCGACAATGTGCTCTTCTCTATCACCAGGTCGTCCACTCGCCGCCAACGCATTTCCTCCGTGGCTGCAGAACTCACCCGCAGTGCCTACCTAAAAAGTCACATGAGTCAAAAGGATGAGGCTGTTCTTCAGCGGATTTTATCACGATCCAAGAAGACAACAAAGTGTGACACGACGTTACTTGACGTCCCACACTACATGCACATTGAGGGGGCGGACTCTGCTGAAAAATACCGAAAACGTGTCCGTGCGCGTACATCATCAAAATCTTCATCCGCTTCTCAGCAACCGAGAACAAGGTCCCGTGACCCACTCAGCCGGGTGGCCAGCGCTGTAAAGATGGGGACGGCGAAGAAACGAAGGTTGTAATATTTCCCATCGCGTCGTAAATGTTCTCGCTGACAATGAAACTCCTGTTGTTCCTCACGTTTTATGCGTCTGGTGTGCCTTGGAAGGGGGTCGTTGCAAAACATCGCCTTGTGCAACACGGTACGCCTTTAATGAACGGTTAATTTCATAAGACGGCTCGTTTTTCTTTTGTTTTTCCTGCCGCTGCTGTTGCTTCTTTCCCCTCTTCTTACACGATGCCTTAAAAACTGTCTTTTTCTTCTTCTTCTTTTCCTTCTTGACCCCTCACGAAGGAAGTTTGGTAGCCATCGAATTCCCATGCTCTGAGGAGATGCCGCTTAAGATCCTTCCGTTGTATGCCCCGTTTCTTTTATCCCTACACAAAAGCGGCTCTTCAACAATGGGGTGAACTCCACATCTTTTGTCCGGCTTTTTATGGTTTGCAGGGTTTGAAAGTAAACAGTTTTTTGTTGTAGAATTACCGATGCCAGTATTTGCCGTGCCATTTTTTCTTATTTGGAAGCCGCGATACTCCGACTCCTTTTGTCGTTGTTGTTGTTTTGGATGTTTTTTTACATCGTGAATCTCGACCTTCTTGTCGTGGATGTGTGGCAGACGGATTATGTCTTTGATAATAAAACTCCGTCTGCTCTCTCTTTCTCTCTGTGTGTTTTTTGTGTGCGTGTCTGCACTTTGGTGGTGGTGCATCGACCATGGGAGTGTGAATGGCGCAGGCGTGTCATGTGTCGTGGGTGTTGACTCTCAGCAGCAGGCCGCCAGTTGCCAGTGCGGGGGTTTCCTGTTGGACTGGTGGGTGTGTGCCTTGCGTGATGCGCTCTTCTTTTTTTTTTTTTTCTCCTTTTTTTTTGGACGTTATGCCTGAAATCGTTGGGGCAGCACATGTGGGACAACCGATGCGTTGTTGTTGAGAGCGGCCGCGAGCTGCGCATAGGACTTGACGTGTCATGCGACATCGTCGTGCAGCCGCCCCAATCGCGTGCCGCCGGGGCTCACATCGTCGCTTCCCGCCATCCTATCCTGGCTCGTATTTCTTGCACCGCGGAGGAGGAGCTGCTGCTCAGCATCCCCGCCGCTAGCATTGCTGTGTACGTGAACAATATTAAAGTGGGGATGCATAGCCGACCCTTGCGGCTTCCCCCCGGCTCTTTTGTCTCATTCATCAAATGTTGCAAGCAAACGACGTTTCGTTTCTTTACAATCAGCACGTATTCGGTTGCGGTGCCAACGCCGGAGAGCACCTCAAATGTATCGACTCCCGAAGCCTTGGAGAAAAGCCTTCGAAACAAGCCATTACTGCTGCTACCTCTGGCACCAACTGGTGGTGAGGTTGAAGAAATAAATTCTCCGCGATCGCCACGTGTGGTGCAAATTGTGGGGTCTGCCAAAGAAAACAAAGCGGAGTTGTTGATGGCATCATACGAATCACAGCCTTTAGAGGAAACAGAGAAAAGTTCCTGTCAAGGTCTCACGGATCCTGGGAGCTCGGGTTTCACTCACAATATGCCGCCGTACATGGGCAAGGCGGATACTTACCTGCCACCATCACCACATGCCATTGTGCCCTACGTTGTGGAGTTGTTGGGGGAGCGTGCCGCTCTTCACACTATTATGGATCAGAGTAGTCTGAGCGCCTCAGAAATCGGCCAGTCGTCGGATCCAAAAAGCACAAAAACGAAGCTCAGCCATCATGTTTTGGATGATCCCTACATGACATGCCACGGGTACGAGGTGTTAAAAGGAGTTCGTTACATGCGCTTTGAGACGCCGGTGCGTTCAGCGGCGGCAAATGTATTGGAATGCATTGAGGATGCCTACGAACCGGAAGAGGGTATTTTTTTGAAATTCACCGAAAGCAGTAGAAAAATGCTTTTGGAACAATTTTTTCTTCTGGCGGAGCATGCGATCATGACAATGTCATTTTCACCGTTAACGATACGGCGTCGGTCACCCATTTTCTGCTGTGGTGACATTCATGGTAGTTTTGCTGATCTAAAGTTCATTGCTGATAGCGTGGTACCCTTCCGTCACTGGTCTCTCATGACAACACCGGTGCTGTTTCTTGGCGACTACGTGGATCGTGGCTTACACGACGTGGAGGTTGTCTTGTACCTCCTCTCCTGGCAGACTCTTTGCCCGGAGAATGTCATCATTCTTCGTGGCAATCATGAAGATGAGGAGATAAATGGTGACGTTGAAACTTATGGTGATTTGTCCTTCCGCAAAAAGTGCTGGGATTTCTTTGGCAATAAAGATGGCGAGATGTTTTGGAGACGCGTGAATGATGTCTTTGCGACGCTTCCGCTAATGGCGATTGTGGACGACACCATTTTTGCGTGTCATGGGGGTATTCCGCTGCTGCGTTTTAACTTGGACGAGCCTGCGCCTCGCGGGCGAGAGGAGCAGCCGCCCCAAGAAGGGCAGCAGAGGCGTGAGAAGGAAGGGGAGGAAAGGGATAAATGCCCGTCTTCCCCGAGGGAATTCACAGCAGGCAACGATGGCGTTCCACACGAGGATCTTCTAAAGCTTCTTATGGACGGCACCCCGAGTGAGTTGAGTGAACTTCGTTTTCGCTGTCTGATGCCGGTCGATAATGAAGAGGGTCGGACTGCGCAGTTTCGCCGTCTGGTGCGCGAGCTGCTCTGGAACGATCCCGTCTCTTCTTCTGTCACTTGTGACACTCCGTTGCTACGAAGTGGAGAAGGCATTTTTGGTCAGGCATCAGACGAGCATGCTTTTCGCCATGAAACATTTGATGCACACGGGTTCCGCAGTAATATGGGACGAGGTGATGATCGGAACATCATACGCGAGTTTACGGCATTCGCACTTGAGTCCTTTATGCAGCGGTGGGGGTTCACGCTGCTGATCCGTGCGCACCAACAGAAGATGTCTGGTTTGGAGATGGGCTTCTCTGGCCGCATCCTAACGCTTTTCTCTTGCTGTAACTACCTGGAAGACATGAACAGAGCTGGTGCGTGCATCATCCTAAATCAAGAGGTGCGCCCGATCTCGTGGCGCCGCTCTGCTGGACGTCGTGTTGCGGAGGAGAAATTTGAGCCTTTGCAGAGGCGTGCGGGGCCTGCGCTATGGAGCTCCGGCTCACTTCCCGAGAGTTTCTGCAGTATCAAAGAACGCCCCATGAAGAAGCCGGTAGTGCCATCCTACGTGGGGTCGTCGGTCGTGAGTTTTGGGTAGAAGACAGACGCGGGAACATGAGTGAGTGATGAACGCGGCAGAAAGATGAGATGCAAATATGAGAGCATACTACCTGTTGTTGTTTTTTTTTTCTTTCTTTTTTTTTTCATGTATCATTAGTTTTTTTATACATGGGTCTACCCTGAGTACAACAGTAATAATAGCCATAGCAATAAATCGGCGAGGAGGGAGGGATGAACTGGGAAAAATCCTTGCATTGAAGATGAAGTCTGCTTTGAAGAGCGTTTATTTCTCTCTCAGTGCCTTTCGGGAGTCAAACGTACATCCTTTTTTTTGTATTTCTTTTTGGTGCCGCGAGTGCAGAGAAGTGGGGCGTGTGCGGCCCGCTGTGGTGTTGGCGGCGGCGGACTTGTATTATCCGGGCTCACGGTTGTTACGTGTGTGCATGTCTCTCTCTCTTTTAATACTTTTTCCTCGTTGCGTGCCCACTCACGTGTGCACTTCGTTCCGTCGCTCTCGCAGTTTGTGGGGCTCGGCGCTGGTGTCTGTTTGCCAGCACCCGTTCTTCGCTCCCTCATTTCTCTTTTGCCGCGGTGACTGGAGGAAAAAAACATCTTTTTTTTAAGGAGGTTTTTTGCGTGCGATCCTCGCCGCTGAAACACACACACACACGCAGAGAGAGGGAGAGAGAGAGAGAGAAGAAAAAACAGAAGATCAGAAGGAAGAGGAAAAATATTGACGTTACCCGTCAACTGCGCTCGACGCCCACCCGACAGCAGCAGAATGGACGGCAATCAAACCAATGCGCGGCGCGCCAGCCACAACCCCAACGAGTCCCACCCGAACAACAGTCAGACCTCCGCAGGGCCACCTGACGCCACCGGCGGACAGCAACCGGGCGAGGACCGCGACGCGGTGGTGGAGCGCATCCTGAAGGGCACGGACCCCAGCGTCATGTCAACTCCGGTGTACTTCGACTACAAGAAGGATGCACGCGCCTACCGCTTCTTTCCAAGCGTGGGGCAGACGGCGAGACACTTTTCGCAGGATGGCAGTACCGTACGAAAGGATGACCCGGAAGCGGTGCAGCAGGCGGAGGACCGTCAACGCCGCGAGCACGACACAGAACTCGCCGCACGTGCCGAGCTGAACCCGGATTTGGTCGACGAGGGCGTTTCCACAAGCATCCTGAAGAATCAGTTTAACTACAGGGACCGTGGCAACCAGACGATGAACAACTGCTTGAAGGAACAGTGTGTCATGACAGACCCGCCGCCGTCGACGAATTTTAGTGCCATGGCCACCGCGTGGGAAATTTATGATGCCTATGAAGAAGATCGCATTCAGAACGAAAAGGCCGCAGCGGCAAATAAAAAGGCCACCGCGCATCGCACTGGAAAGGATGAAGAGAAAATTACTTTACCCGAGGACACCGGCGGAAGCAAAACGTCAGAAGAGATTTTAAGCTCCTCCGAATACAGGGAGGCGCTTAAAATCATTGAGCGAATGGTCAATCAAAATGATTGTCACGACATCATTGAAGACTTCAAGTATTGGGAAGATGAGAGTGATCTCTACAAGGAGGACGGCAATTTGCTGCCACTGTGGCAATTCTTCACGACAAAAGTGAAGCATCGCGCAGTAACTAGCATTTCTTTAAACAATCGCTACAAAGACCTGTTTGCGGTAGGCTTTGGTAGCTACGACTTTCAGCGACAAGGCAAAGGCTCCATTCACTGTTTTACTCTTAAAAACACCGTACCAACGCTCTCGGGCGTCCAAATTCCCGCCCACCCGGAATTTTCATTTAATCTGGAGAGCGGTGTTATGTGTCTTGCATTTCACCCTGAAGAAACGGCTTTACTTGCCTGTGGTCTACATGATGGATCGGTCTGTGTATTTGACCTCCGCATACTCAGCAAGGACGGTAAGGAGAGCGTGAAACCCATTTGTCAATCTGATGTACGTTCTGGTAAACACATGGACCCCGTTTGGGAGATTCACTGGTGCACTGGCACCATGAATCTTCAGTTCTACTCTATCAGTACGGATGGCCGTATTACCAGCTGGTCATTACACAAGAAGGAGTTGGTTTTCAAAGATGTTATGACACTGACAACAGGTGCATGCGCCTCGGACCCGGAGGCGATCTTACTTAGTCGATTAGGTGGGACATGCTTTGACTTCTCTGTGGCGTATGATGGACTTTTCATTGCGGGCACGCAGGAGGGCTCTGTGATGCTGTGTAGCAAAGGGTACAATGGACAGTGCTTGGTACGTTACGAGGGGCACACCATGCCTGTGTACACATGTCGCTGGAATCCATTCCATCCAGACATCTTTATTACTTGCTCTGCTGACTGGACGGTGAAACTGTGGCTCAAGAATTCCACAAAACCCCTCTTGACTTTTGACGCGGCTGACTCCGTTGGCGACATCGCATGGGCTCCGTACAGTTCCACCGTCTTTGCGGCAGTCACCTCGAACGGCAAGGTGTTTGTGTTTGACCTGAACAAAAACAAGCGTGAGCCTCTCTGCTCCCAGACGGTGGTGAAGAATGCCAAACTCACCCACGTTGCATTTCACAAGGATGAGCCAGTCGTCTTGGTGGGTGACTCGCGTGGATCGGTGCTCATCCTGAAGCTCTCGCCGAACCTGCGCATCCTGTGCAAACCAAAGAAGGGTGAGCCTGACGATCCGAAGAGTCTACGCAAGCTTGAGGTGGAGAAGCTCGACCGGCTGATAGATATTACCCTCAGGGATAGAGTGCTTCTGGGGCAGTTGTGAGTGCACCCAGAGTGAGCAGCAGCGGGCTCTGGAGAGGAAAGAGACGCAGCAAGGAGAAGGAAAGAAAAAAAGAGGGAGAAAAAAAAAACACGGAGAATCTGACAAAATGAAAGAGAGATGAATAGCCATGAATGTCTCATTTTTGGTTTTATGTAAGATTTTGGTTGATTGGGATGTGATGCGCTGGTGGGTGGGGTTGTCTCAAGACGAATAGAAGCAACAGACGGGAAGGAAAGTTTGAACGAGGAGGCGGGGATTAGTTTGCAAGTTGTCACCTCTCACCACCGCCCGGTGTCTTCACAGCCATGGATGTATATATACATAAGATATACATATGTCTATCTGCATGCCTGTCCATCAGCTGCCTTTGATACGCGTTGGCTTCGTACCACTGGTTTGTCTGTGTACTTATGCGCTGAAGGGCCACTCCACTTTCTTCGTTATACGTTAACGACGATGGCGTGTCTCTTACATTCAGTTGACTTTTTTGTTTTGTCTTTTGCGTGTTTGTGTGTGTGTGTGTGTGTCTCTTTTTGTGTGTGTGCATTTTGTTGTGTCGGATGCGTTACAAGTAATTCTGTCTTTTTTTTTCTTTTTTTTTTTGTTTGTGTCTCCTTTTTTGTGTGTTTGTGTGTGTGTCTTGGGGTTTTTCTCTCCTATCGCCCTCGACGGTACAGTGCGCATTGACTCGGGTGACGCCGGCGGCAGCGAGACGGAGGCGGGGGAGCACGAGGTGCGCGGGGAAGCCGAGCGGGTCGACAAAAACGGAGGCGAAGGAGCAAACGAACAAAAGACAAGGCGGGAGCAAATTCCACGGCACACCGTCTCACCCGCACTTCCTCACGAACCCCGCGTTGTTTGTACCGAGAAAGAGCGAAGGGCACCCGGCCGGACTCCACGCAGAAGAGGCCTGTTGCCCCTCCAGAAGGAAGGAACGCAGCCGCGGCAATAAGGCATAACGTTTCTTCCCCACTGACGCACAAGGAGTAGTTGGCGGGTTGGCAAACATGTCTGACTATTCCCCAATAGAGGGACGGCTCATGGACACACTCCACCGCCGCCAAAACACGAGCATGATCAAGTCATATTGGTACAGTCAACTCCGCTCATCGGGAGCGCTATTAGATGCAAAAGCAGTCTCATCCCCCAAAGACCGAGCGGCGACCGCGTCCAGTCAATATACCCCGTCCACTGGAAACAGTAGCGGGTTGACGGAGTCGTCGACGCGTGGCCCCAACACGATGACTTTGTCCCGCTCAGCCTCGTTCCGCAGTCCCTCTTCTCCCAGCACTCGCCGCCGCCGTCTGCATGCTGCAGCCCTCTCCGCAGAACTTCATTGTGCACTTGATCTCCGTGAACGGTTTGGCACTTTGGCAAAACCGCTTTTTCAAAGTTTTTTGCTTCCACAATTTGAGGCGCACGAGACATGTCCGACGCTGACGGTTGTTCTAGATCTTGACGAGACGCTCGTTAGTAACCGTAATGGAGCCCTGTCGGCTGCCATTCTACGCCCGTACTGCCTGCATTTCCTCAATGCCCTTCGCCACATGAAAGGGTTGGAGGTCGTCTTGTGGACAGCGTCAAAGAAGGAAACGGCGTTGCCGGTGGTGGAGCAATTGAATGAAAGGGGAACCGTTTTTGATGAAGTGATATACCGTAATGATATGTGGTTCACGGAGCCGCTTCATACCAAAGATCTACGTCTGTTGGGACGAGACATGGACCGTCTACTTATCGTTGATAATGCAGCAAACTGCTGCAAGCTCAATCCACGAAACAGTCTTCTTGCGGATGACTTTTATGGATCCCGTAGCGAGGAGGACGCGACACTAGTCAATGTGTACTACATCATTGAACGACTTCTTAAAGGGTGTCAGGAGGACATACCGGTGAAGGACGCGTTGTATAGGCTAGCGACAGATGGCCAATTGTGCAGTCCTTTAGTGTTGACACTGCCTGAGGCGTGGAAAACTCTGCCACTGCGCGATATTGCACCGCTTAAGATCCCTCCACATGGTCGTTTTACGCGTGTCCATCGGGAACCTTTAGACAAATCCATTATGCGCCACTGGACAATATAGTACGTACTTGTATGTATTTGTCTGTGGAAATTACCCGCAAGCCTTTCTTGCATAGAAAGGGAGAGAAAAGGTACGGTGATGGACAGTGGAGTGAGATACTTTCATGCACGGCGTCGTACACAGACGTATACATGTGCATGGGTGTACGCATAGATTTTGAGAGCGAAGAGGAGGAAGACCGTTTTTGTTGGCATATTCATAGAGGAGTTGCCTGTGAGTGTGCACATGAGGGAGTGGGGGAGGGGAATCATAGATTGATAGAAAATGACTGAGAGGGCATGGAGGTAAGAAAAAAAGAAGAGAAAAAAAAAAATGCCGCAAGAGTGGATGTGTTTCGCTCTACCTCACAGCCCCTCCCAGGCCTCTGCACACGCACACACAGTTTCCGGCTCACTGTGGATATAATTCTTTTGAAAGAAAATGAAACAGAAGAATTGAAATAAATTGTTTTAGAAATCCCAAGGTGGAGGGGAGGGGGAGATGAGAACCCCGTAGAAAGTAAGGGTTAGAGAGAAGCACGTGTGTGATGATGTAAACACATTTTAACATATAAACATATAAACATGTGGGTGTGTACTCAGTAGGAACTTAACAACAGAGAGAAAGAGAGAGGGAGGAGGAGGGAAACGGGACGTTGGTGGCAATGTCATGGCGACGCGTGCAGGTCCACCCGGTCTATCCACTTAAAGTCGTGGAAAAACGCACGAGAATCATTCGTCTAATGCCCTGGTTTGAATTTTTAGATGATGGGCTCAAATGTATGTGGTGGCGGGGGAGGCGGTGAGCCTTTCCTCTCACTCTCTCTCTTTCCTCTCTTTTTTTTTTTTTTTTTCGCACACCTACACAATGCACATACCAAGACTATCTTTATCACCCACCTCTTTATTATTATTATTATTCGTGCCTATCTCGTTGACCACTTCACAGTTATGCGTGCACAGAAGGGCAAAATGACAGAAGGAGCGTGTGAGATGTATTTACTCCTTATCTCCGTGTGTTTTCCTTCTTCCATTTACTACAGCAAATGATGCGTTTTTGCGTTCATTTGTTTTCTCTTTTTCTTTTTTTTCTTTTTACTGCTGCGTCACTTATTTCTGTGTTTATTTATTGATTGATTGAACACCATTATTCTTTGATTACTTTTATTTAATGATTGTGTTGAGACCGTCTTTGTTGTTGTTGTTGTTGTTGTTGGCTCCACTGTGCATGGCGCCACGGCAGGAGGAAGAGACACGTACCCTCCCTCCCTCCCTCCCTTTCCCTGCACCTACACACACACACACACACACACAGAGGGAGAGAGAGGGACACAGTTAATGTGCGTACGTCTCCATTTCTCCTTTTCTCCGTGTGTGTGTGTTTTTGATTGTATCGAAGTTATCCTTCTTTTTTGCCCCATCGACAGAACTTCGAGGTGAGAGAAGAAGTCGTGGTCACCAGTTGAAGAGAAAAAAAAAAAAAAAGATTTTAAGGGAGGAAGATATTTAAAAGCCGAGAGAGGGAGAGGGGAGGAGACAAGGAAACTATATATATACACATACATATATATATATATATATTATTAACAAATAGCGAGCATAAATGCCACCACGACCAGCCAAGGGACGTGCCGCGCAGTCGTTTGTGACGGCTCGTGGTACACCGGATAGTCTTCAGAGTTTTTTGGGTGGTATGTCAATACCCGCCCAGGGTGCGGCAGAAGATGCGTCTATGGTAGAAGTGAATCTGAAGCTCCTGCATAAAACCAACGAAATAACTTTGCTCAAAGCTCTTTCAGAATTGAATCGTTTATTGACTCTTGTAATGGAGGAAGAAATTATTTCATACATTCCAAACATCATTGAATCTGTCATACGCCACGCTGAGCATGCGAATGCATCTGTTCGTGCTGGCGTTTTTGGTCTTTTGCTTAATATAGCTCAACGGGGGAAGACCCTGCGAAAAGAACTGGTTCGAGGGTTGCCATCGCTTGCCGTTGTTTGGTTATTGCGTATGAATGATATGGAGACCTCCGTGCGGAAGGAATCCCGTGAGGCATTCAACGCAGTCGTCACTCCTGAGATGTTACATGGGATTGCCGATAACATTGTGGAGGGCCTCATTGAAACGTTTCAAACTGTGATTGAACAGAGTAGAGGGAAGCCGCTCCAAGACGATAATTTGGACCGACGATCCAACACACTGTATTCGTCTGTATGTACTATGGGATACATGATGCGGCAACCCGTGCTAGCGCGCGAGAAAATCATTTCGTTTGTGGAAGCACAGTCACTACAACCCATTTTGCCTGTGCGAGAAGGCAATGTGAAGACCAATCTTGCGATGAGGACACCCGTTGTGCGTTCAGCGTCGCTCTTATTGTTGCGTGATATCTTAGAGGCAAAACTCATGACACCAAAACTTTACCGCTGCGTTTCTATTGCTCTTCACAACGCCATATTTGATGATGCGGTTGTGGTAATTCGGCGAGCCTGGGAGCTTTTGCTTTTGTGGTGTAGCGAGGCATCTGGAACTGCTATTGACTACTTTGAAGATGATTTTCTGCGGGATGTTATTTGGAGCTGCACAGAGTGTCGAGACCCGGAGGCGATGGAAGTCATTTACCCCTCTCTCGTTCCGTTGCTGGTGCCCCTCACGCGTGACCCACGCTGCGCGGACGTGGCTGCTGAGTTTGGTGAGGCGCTTGTGCAAAAACTAGAGTCTCTTGGCGACGCAAGTTCGCAGGAGTGGCGATTGGTGTTATCTGCTCTTTTGCAGGTGTGGGAGCTTCTGTGCGTTCGCGCTGCGGCGCGAGGCGAAGGGCATGAGCACGACGGCGTCAAGCTGTTTCACCGCATCCTCACCACACTGACTGCGTTGATGCGAACAGCGCCCGAGGGAGCCCGCCGCTTAGATGCCACCGTGTCGATTGTTGCGTCAAGTATGCGACGGGCTGCTCGCCACGAGGGTCTTTTTTGTGAGTGTCTTAATGTATTGTGTGGTCACCCTAACGCATTCCGTCAAGTTCTTCCGAATGACGCGAACGACGAACTCCAGAGAAGGTTTGAGCTGCTTCAGGCGGGGATTGTGGGCGTTGTTGCTGCCCTTCCCGGGGCCTCGCAGATGGCGGAACTGCTAATCACAAAGTACCTGCACAACAGACTCTGGGAGCCATTATCAGTCTTGTTGCATGCGTGTGCGAACCCAAACGGTAGTGGCACTGACCGCCAGGCACCGTTTATCCCGACAAGGGCGGTGCGGTTGCAGGTTGCTAAAGGCCTGGTGGACGCCATCCGAATGGACGCCAGCATGCGGAAGGAAGGAGAATTAGCGGAAGAAGAAAAAGATGGGGGAGAAGCGAATTTGAACTTTTTCAGGAAGCTACTTTCGGTTGTCTTGATGTGGAACGACTCTGAGATACGTGAGCAACTACAGGCGCTTGTTGCTGTCACTTCTGGTGAAATGAAGTGGGTAAAGGACGCCATCCTTCTGAGTGACATGCGGGACCCTGAGCGACTTTTGGGCCTCATCTTGTGGTCATGTAGGGAGGCAGACTTCTGTACTCTGGAGCGTTGCGTTGATGCCCTTGGAGAGGTGCGAACGACGCTGTCAAAAACTGAGAAGGAGCAACTGCGTGAGGCGGTGCGGCAGTCGTTGGATGCCGTTCTGCGACTTGTCTCCGATGAGGAGGGAGCGACGGCAGGAAAGGCGAAGGTGGGATCGCAGGCCGACTCAGAGACAACACGCAGAGGGAGTGATAACAACGAAGACGACGATTCCTCGAGTGATGGTGCCGATGCCGACACGATTGACGAGGAGGATGAAGAGGAGGAGGAGGACGTGGTGAATAAGGCCGGAGAGGTCCTGCAACGACTTTTGATGTGGACTGATCTTTTTAGAAAAGGCAGCCGTTTGCCTGAACTGTTGGATTTCACTGGTAACGACTTAAATTTGCCGACGCTTTTTCGCATTGTGGCCACTGTTGCACCGAGACTACACGCCGAGCAGTACATGTCCATCAAAGCACTTCGTGTGGCTCTGCAGAATGACAAGGATCCCCTGTTGCGGGCGATGGCAAGGAAGAAGCACTCTCTCGGTGTGAAGCAGTTTAACACCCTGGTGGAGAAAGTGGAAGGGCTGCTGGAATCGTATGAGGTGAGTGTGGAGCAGCTGGACACGGCATCCCTTGAGTTGTTTGATGATGTTGGGCGGGTGCCGTCGTGTGGCCTCGCAGCCTGTGGACAACTCTCCCGATTGGTGCCATTTGCGTCCAGTAATCTTCTGCAAGGGATTGCTTGCAGCACGGAACTGTGGGCGGAGCATCAGGTGCTCTTGCGGGAGAACAGCGTATCCACTGCGGATATACCTTTTGCCATGCTAGATCGATACTGCTCGCTTGATGCTATGGATCTGTCGCTGTTGCGATGTGTGCGGACGGCACAGCTTGTGCACTTGCTCGCCCTCTCTGTTCCCATAAAAACGTGCGATACCGTTGCCGTGATTTTGCCGCTAATTCGTGCAGCGCGTGTACAGGAAGCCTTGTCAGAACCGATACGAAAGTTGCTCATGAGGAAGTTACTTCCACGTGCGCTCTTACGACTTCAATCGCGGGATGAAATTATGGCAATTTTGGCGGCGGACACGGAACCCCATCTTCTTCTTTGCACGCTTGCGGCGGTTATTCGCGACGCTGCGATGTGCGTTGGTGATGAAATCTTGGATAGTGCACGATGCATAGCCAGCGTTGCGACGGAGTGGATTGTCAGCTCTCTTCTCCTAAAGGAGGGTACGGCGCCTCTACATGAGAAGGCCATCTCAGCGTACCGCGCCTTTTTTGCCTCACTTGATGAAGCCGCCGATGTTATTGATGACTCTATTCTTTCATCCATTGCCAAAAAACAAACGTCTGCTGTGCAAGAGGCGATGTGTATGCTACCTACGCTGCAAATACCCACCGCACTGTTGACCATGACTATACATCGGCACCTCAGTATTGCTCCGGTTGTCGTTGCTAGTACGGTGCAACAAGTTATCACCTATTCTCAGGGACTTCGCCCGCTTGACGGGTTGGAGTTCCTTGTAGAACTTTCTTCCAGCCGTATCATCGACACGGCAGCATACAATGAGCTTGTGCACACAATGACTTATTTTCTGGCCCGCTGCTGTAGGCTGCGCCACATGCCGCCCAACGGCCGATTGCTGTCTCAGGCACCAAACGAACCTTCCATGAATTTGAAAGATCTCCGATGTGTTGTCGTGGCCGCCGTGTCAGCCCGCCGCGGTGGGATTTTACACGGGCGCCTTGATGATGTACTGCGAAGCTCCATCAACCTCATTCTCTTCGACGTCGTAACCGAGTGTGTTCTGTCGCTTCGCCAAACAAAGGAGGAGGACGTGCCCCTCGTGACTAAACTGATAGCATTTACGTCAAAAAGTCTTGCTGATTTGGTCACATCAGATGTTGCCGTCTTGCGTTCCTCCGAGGTGACCGTGACAAAAGTAGCGAGTGTGATGAACTTTGCTTACCAGTGGCTCTGTGCCACCCCTATTGCGAAGTTAGAGTCTATTGGGATGGATGCCGTCGCAAGCGCCATTTCTGCGGTGTCGCTCTTGTCCGTTTTGACACTTATGCGTTCTGGCGTGGTGTTGCTGCCCATCATGCGTCAAATCACCTCAAAGCGCCTGCTGCGGAACCTCCGTCATGAGTTTAGCACCGTATCACCAGCAAAACTGAAGCTGTTTACGCGCCACACGAAAATCATTATGAAGACAAACAAACAGAAGCTAGCACTGTTTCCACATTTGCTCGCCTGGTGTGTCACGCTGAGTGGAACGACCAAAGAGGACTTTACGAAGGAGCGGCGCGAGGAAGTGTTCCATTTGCTCGATCTTATTTGCTCACTGCTTCTTACCCCAGCCGTGCCTGGCAACAGGCGTCTTGAAGGCACGTATCTCTGTAGCACGCCCAAGGCGGGTGGCGAACACCTTGGATTTGAAACCGTTGCCTTAACGCGTCCAAACTCTGCGGAGCCGATGAAGGAACTGGCAAAGGGCGCCGCTGCTGTTTTTGCTTTACTGCTGCAGAGCAGCATGTTGTCTGTTGTCAAGAGCTGGTTGGAGACGATTGAACGGAAACTGCAGGATCTCTTTTACGCCGTTGTGGAGAGACACATCTCGCCCCTTCTCATACAAGAGAGTTTGCTCACTGTGCTTGGCCGGAGTCCATCCGGGAAATCAACATTCGACGTGAATGAAAATTACAACATAGCGGTAAGCATACCCAAGAAACTCATCACACTGAAGTACACCATGGAAGAAGCAAGTGTCATGGTAAAGATTGAAATTCCCTCCGCCTTTCCATTGAAGCCACCTGCGGTTACCTTTGAAAGTGGTAAAGGCTGCGGAGTCTCAACAGATAAGTGGCGCTCATGGATGCTAAAAATGACGGTTCTGCTCTTTGGAGGTTCTGCCAATGTGTGGGAGTGTGTGACACTTTTTGGTAGAAACATGGACGCTCACTTCTCTGGTCAGGAACCGTGTCCCATCTGTTTTGCGGTGGTGTCGGCTGTGGATAATCGCCTGCCCGATATGCGTTGTGCCGTGTGCCGAAACGCCGCTCTTCATTCCTACTGCCTATATTCATGGTGGGCAAACAGTGGCCAGACAGTATGTCCGCTATGCCGCTCGCCGTGGGTCTCGAGCTGAGAGTCGCTGGTGGGAAATTTTTGCTCTTTTCCGTGCTAAGGTGACACTGTTGTTTATGTATGCCGTGTTTAATATAAATGATTTTCTTTTTGCCTCGCTCATCGTGGTTGCGTGCGGGTGTTTTTCCCTTTTATTGGTCTCACACGGTCGTATTGAAAAGTGACAAAGACTAAACGATGCTCGTTTGCGGCGTCTTCTACATTAATTTTTGTTTTTTTTTGCTACGTTTTCGGTGGCCACTGTTCATTTCTCAGAGGCCGCACTATTACTGCTGGATGCTATTGTTTCCTGATGCCTTTTTTTCCCCCTTCACTTTGCCCCTGGTGAAAGAAAAAGGAGACAAAGCGTGTGTGTGTGTGTGTGTGTGTGCCGTTTGCATTGCGTGGATGGAACCAGTGATACACCCACTGCCGCACGACGAGTCTTCATTCGCCTCGAGGCGTGCTGCCTTTGAACGCACGCGCCGGTTGCATGCCGGCACGCTTAACATATTTGCTGAGGAAGACCCCACGACTGCAACAACGGTCACCCCGCATGTGGCACGCCGCTCGCACCACAACGACGAGTCGCACGAAACGCGGGAGTTCTTGTGGGCGCGCTTGCGGCGCGTCACGCCGCCGAGGCACCCGGAAACGCCGCGGGGTATTCATCACGTGGAAAATGCTGCAGGAAAGCAGCAGAACATTCAGGTTGTAGGTATCACTGACGCGTACAAGAACCCGAAGAACATGCCGCCACCACGCAGTGGCTTACGCTGCGTGGCGCGAAGCAACTCGTCGTCAGTGCGGGACATTATTTCACGTCCGGAAAGTGTTGAAAATAAGAGAGGCAACAGTCGGCCACCGTCACGCGTCGTCAGTTACAGTCAGCAGGAGCGCTTCTGCCAGGCAGTGCGTGATCATGTGCAGCACCGACGGGGCGGCGTAACGGCGTTCTATGTCGGCCTTGCACGTGGTCTTGTGGGTCGCGTTGCGGCGGAGGCTCCGTTGGGGACGCCGCGTCATTGGCATTTGGAGGATTTGCCCCCGACGCACACATTGACTCTTGGCAGTTGCAGGGATCAACTGCAGTCACTGACGGGGATTTCCATCTCTCTAGGAGACCTGGCGGAGATGTTATGGAACCCGAAGGAAAACATTGCCCCATCTGTCGACGACGAACCCAGCGAGGAGCAGCTCCGTCACATGAAAGTCACGTACCGTGACTTCTCTGCGGCCTTTGGTGATAATGCCGAAAACAACAAACTTGCTGCTTTCAAGATATAGGGAAAATAGGGAGGGAAAATGCACATTATATATATATATATAATGTGGTAGTAACATAGAGGGGGTGTTGTGAAATCGTAATGAGGGTGATGCAAATGGAAGTGCAGAGTCTTTCTTAGAAGTGATTCCGGTTATTATTAATTTATTTTATTATTTATTTATTTTTTATTTTTTTTTTTTTTTTTTTTTTTTTGTGCCATGATCATCATTTAAATTGTTTTGGTTTTGTTACAGACTTTATTCCATAGAAGGTTTGTATTCATACATCTATGTGCGCACATCTACATGAGAGAAGGAGACGAGACAAATAACGTGTGCGTGAGTGTGTGTTTGTTTGTTTTAATGTGTACATCTCTGAGATGTGTAAATATTTCTTTAGGAGTATGAGTGGGCCTCACTGTATGGCATTTGTTTTTTTTTTTGTTTTGTTTTGTTTTGTTATATATATATATATTTGCTTATTTTTGCTTGCGTGGGTGCTCACTGCCCTGAGAGTAAAAGAAAAGTGGTTTGCTGCTCCCGCCCTCGAAATGGAGGCATGCAATGTGGCATTGCAGCGGTGCGTAAGGAATATAGTCAATGAGGGCGGGTATGGGAAGGACATGTCAACTGCGTCTCTGCTAGAGGAGCCTCGAGAAAACGAGAAGGCCTTGACTGGCATGGCACTACTCAACGGCACCCTCAACGAGAAGCAGATTACACAGGCGGAGACACTCTGCATGATGGGCGACAAGTTTGATGACGATGTGGCGGACTATGTTGCGTCCACGGTATTCCCCAAGGCCGGCAGGCTGCGTGTGGTGGAAGTTGCTTCCACAAAAATTAGTCCCCTTGGTGTCATGACTCTTTTGCGCTCTCTGTACCAAAGTCCCAACGACGTCCTGGAGCAGTTGTTGTTTTGTGACACGCGCCTTCACAGCGATGAGTGCGCTGTCATTTACAACCTGATGGTGAAACACACCTCCCACCTGCAGCGGCTGGAATTGCAGCGCTGCCATATGGACGATACCGCAGCGCAGGCGGTGGCGGAGGGCATCGCTCAGGCGAAGGCGTTGGTCGAAGTGAGAATCGCGGACAGCGACATCATTCCGGCATTTGCGATTCCGCTTGAGGACTCGCAGTGGCTTCTTTTCCCCTCTTCACTCAAAGTGCTTGACGTTAGCGGCAATCGCATCGAATCCGTTCATCACCGCGGTCTCGCCATTGCTCTGAGACGCTGCATCGCCTCGCTGGAGGAAATTTACATGTCAAGATGTTGCGTGACCGAGTCTTTTCTAACGACACTTTTAAAAGCGGGACTCCACTCCTCGCATTGTCTTCGTGTCCTAAATGTTTCTTCTGGTCGTTTGTTACACACCGCTGGTAAAGTATTGAGTAGTTTTCTCACCGAATGTCCAAATTTGGAGAGACTGTACGTACAGGACAACCTTATTGAGGCGGATGGTGCTGCACGCATGGCCATTGGTATCCCATGTGCCAAGAAATTGAAAGTGTTGGGGCTTGGGAGTTGTCATTTAAACGGTGAGGGTGCAAGAGTTATTGCAGAAGCGGTAAGGCAAACTCCATCAGTACGTGAACTTGACCTTTCCAATAATTCATTGTCAGATGCGGATGTATTTCAAATTTGTGCATGCGATGATGGCAGCAGTTTGCAGTTGAGTTTTCTTGATTTGTCGAGTAATCCCCTGACGGATCGATGTAGGCCATTTATTCAAGCACTTTTAAGGAGTAAGAAAAATGGGACGTGTACTGTGCTGGTTCGCGATACAAATGTAGCAGCCGACTTTTCTTATCTGCAGTGCGGCGATTTATCGGGTTTGTCGTGATGGCAAAATGAATAGGTTTGTGTGCATTTTATTATTTGGGGAGGGTGGATGACTATTCCACATTTGTTTTGCTTGTAGAAGAATGCTGTGACTTCTCTTGTCACGATGGTGCTGATGTTGAATGATGATGATGTATGGAGGTTTGGCGAAATATGAGTGAGTGCGATGAATGTGTAAAGTGAAACGTGGGCGACTGAAGTCTTTCCCTGTTGGCATTCTTTTTGGATGCCGCGTGGAGCCAAAGTTGTTGATGCTTGGTGGTATTGGTGGTGGTGGTGGTGGGAGAGTTCAGGGTACAGACCTGCGCCTGGATGTATAATTGTGTCCTTTGCCCCCACTCTTTTTTTAATTTATTTATTTATTTATTTTTTATTTTTTTCACTGCGCAATCCTGCAGAGAGCATTGTTGTCTAGATTTCTTTGACGCACACATCACTCGAGGCTTCCAATGCTGCGCCGTTCTGCGGCAGCCCTTGGCAAGAAGGCCCCGGTGCCATTCAAGTACGTCCCGCTTATTCCGCACGTCTCCCACGACGACACGCCGCTTCGTCTCTTGACGAAGGACTACGTTTCTGTTGTGAGGCCGGGCTGTGGCGTGCCGGAGATCCTGCAGGTCGATGTGGAGGGACTGACGAGGCTCGCCTCGGAGGCTTTTGGCGATGTGCAGCATCTTCTTCGCCCATCCCACCTCGCGAGTCTGCGGAAGATTTTCGACGACCCGGAGGCGAGCGACAACGATCGTTTCGTCGCGCTACAGCTTCTAAAGAATGCCAACATTGCGGCAGCTCGCGTCCTTCCCGGGTGCCAGGACACAGGCACGGCGATTGTTGCCGGCTACAAGGGCGAACAGGTGTTCACAAACGGCGATGAATGCGAGGCGTTGAGTCGTGGCGTCTACAAGATTTACACCACAACAAATCTACGTTACAGTCAAAATGTTCCTCTCACCATGTTTGATGAAAAAAACACGGGCTCCAATCTGCCGGCACAGATTGACTTGTATGCGACGAAGGGACAAGAGTACAACTTCATGTTTGTGGCAAAAGGAGGCGGCTCGGCGAACAAGGCGTATCTTTTCCAGGAGACGAAGTCGGTTCTTAACCCAAAGTCCCTCCGTAAGTTTTTAGAGGAAAAAATTGGCGCTATTGGTACCGCGGCCTGCCCACCATACCATATGGCTGTCGTCGTGGGTGGCACAAGCGCCGAAATGACACTCAAGACAGTGAAGTACGCATCTTGCAAATACTACGACAATCTACCCACAAAACCGGATGAGTCCAAGGGCTACGCCTACCGCGACACTGAAATGGAGAATGTCGTTATGGACATCTGCTACAACATGGGCATGGGGGCCCAGTTTGGGGGGAAGTACTTTGCCCATGATGCCCGCGTCATTCGCCTGCCCCGTCACGGCGCCAGTTGTCCGATAGGCATCGGTGTAAGCTGCAGCGCCGATCGTCAGGCACTTGCAAAAATAAACAAGGACGGTATTTGGCTTGAGCAGCTCGAAACAGATCCCGCAAAATACCTCCCAGAGATCACCGAAGACCAGCTCCTTAAGACACCACCCGTGAATATTGACCTAAGTATGCCTATGGAGAAGATTCGCGCTGAACTTTCAAAGTATCCTGTCAAGACACGACTAAGTTTGAGTGGCACCATCATTGTTGCCCGAGACATGGCCCATGCACGGATGCGGGAAATGCTTGAGGCGGGAAAGCCGTTACCAGAATACATTAAGAACCACCCCGTGTACTACGCAGGGCCGGCAAAATGTCCTGAAGGCATGCCTTCTGGTTCCTTTGGTCCAACGACAGCGGGACGCATGGACCCATTTGTGGATCTCTTTCAGGCAAACGGCGGTTCCTTTGTTATGCTCGCAAAAGGAAACCGCAGTCGAGCAGTAACGCAGGCATGTAAGAAACACGGAGGATTCTATCTTGGCAGTATCGGTGGCCCTGCCGCACTGCTTGCAAAAGACTCCATTCGCAAGGTAGAGGTGCTTGATATGGCGGAGTTGGGAATGGAGGCGGTGTGGAAGATTGAAGTGGAGAATTTTCCCGCCTTCATTGTTTTGGACGACAAGGGAAATGACTTCTTCCAACAGCTCAAATGAGTCCAATGCAGACGGCAATTCCGGTTTAAATTGAAGGAGACAACAAAAGAAAGCGAACGAAGGGATGGAAGGAAAGCTGACATAACAACAAACAAACAAAAAACGAAGGGAGATGTAGTTAGCGGCTGGATGTGGGTTGAAGAAGGAGCGGTTGCTGTTCTTGTAGGGCAGCCGTGAGAAACAAGAGGAGGAAGGAGGGGGGGATGCTTCACTCCAAGAAGTAAAGAACTGGAAGAAAGCCAGCGGAACATACAAGGTGTGCGTCAGGCAAAAAAAAAAAAAAAAAGTGACAATCTCTGCGTTTTTGAAGATGCATTGACACTTCTCCTGATTCAAATTTGGCGGCACGGCAGCGTCACCGTTGCAAAAGCGATGCAAACAATTAGTCAGGGACCGTGACGCCATTCCAGTGTTAAATTTGTGGCAAATCAAGCAAAACGGAACTAACCTCGTTAGAGGAGTGTGTGCAGTATGTACAGTTGTGGGCGGGCAAAAGGTATTTTTTTTTTTTTGACTTATCTCTTTTAACCGTGGAGGGAGCATACGGCACAATGTTGTGGCATTTACTTTGATACCAATGATTTTGGCGTGACTCACGTGCTTTGTTTCGTTTTTTTTTTTTTTTTTTTTTTTTTTTTTGCCAATTGGGTTGTTTTTCTCCCTC